AATGGGTGGCTTTGTTGTTGTTTGTGGTGATTCAAGTCAGCTGATTATGGTCATCTCTCGATATCACACTTTCAGCCTCCAATTGGGCGTCCATGCTGAGGCCTCATCACATCTATTCACGCGTTTGCCTCCCTTTATTGGCAATGCTGTTTGTCCATCTCATCAGCTTGTGCCCGAGTTGGGTTTGCGGGTAATCTCTCCCTCCCTCTCGAGTGCTTTTGTACCTTACCCGCCCCCTTCCCTGTGATGCAACCATGTAAATCATATTGCATGGCCTAATAGATGAACACGCGATTACCATGCTCTCTCCATTTCTGGGGAGCAGGAAATTTCGTGCAGATGGTGCCATTGCAAATAATTGTCGTCATACCGAGAACGAGCAATTGAGGCATTTCATTAGCACAGGTGGCACAATTATCTCACTTTTTCTTTGCTCGCCCGAATGCAATGGCAGCAGCGCGATCGGCCATAGAGAGCAAAAGATATATATAAATATGTGCCATTCGAACCAATCACCAGTAACCCGAGAGGGGGGTCACCAACTGACCCGGGATCAAGCGTCCGGGTATCGTCATTAGGCTTCAAAAGAAAAGCAGCCAGAGGAAGCGCTTGAGCGCTGTGCCGGTCCCGCGACTCCACACGGGGTAGTTTCAGTGGACGGAATATATGACCTTTTCTTTACTTTTCTTAGATGATCTGGCAAAATTGTGGCAAACTGTGTTTTGCTCAGCCAATCAAAGATGGTGGGCTGGGCGTTTTGGGTCTCCTCCTCGATGCCCAACGTGGCACATTCCACTAAAAGAAGGGCGATCCCTGTCCAACCAAATGGACAAGTGCATGGCTCCCGTCTGGGGGCCACTTACACGATGTTTGAGAAAAGCCTCGAAGGAGAGACTCTTTTCTTATACGTTGGTGATTGATTGTGATTGGAAGCCCTGTCTCTTTTAGTGACTCACCCTGACCTGTAATGAGGTCTCCCCAAACCATAGGTCGAAGACCCCATGTAGATTAGCATTGCCCCGTAGCGACCATCTAGACCTAACCACCCGCCCGAAGGGGTCTTGCTTGGCCCATGGGCCTTGCGATTCCCGGTGGTGCAGGATGCAGCTCTCCATTGCCTTGCTGGATCCTGTTATACCCGACCATCTTGATGCGCAACGCCTTGCTGCACGCCAGCCACATATACCTCGACCCCGTCAATCCTCTCCCTCGTCTCCCCTTGGCTTACACTCCTCTCAACCAGCTGACTGCTTCTTGCCCAAGACACTGATTGATCCGCCTATCTTTACGCCAGCCCAAACTCAGAAAGCATATCCCAAACGAAATGATCTACCACGACGACTTACAACCATTCACTCTAATCATTACTACAACGTTGGTCACAACTCCACCACAAATTCAATCGCCACATCTTCAAATCGACAAGACAGTGCAGACAATCACAGACTACACATAGATAAATTCAAAAATCACAGACATGATGGCGTCACTAGCTCGACCTCGAGTCGATGTCAGAGCCGCTGCCATGCCAGGAGGCTTCCCATCCCAAGACTACTGCGAGCAGCCGGATCGGCGCCCAGCAATGGTAGCAACAGGAATGACCACGGATACAGAGACGACATCCAGCCGTTCAAGTGATAGACCGGCACCCAGCAGGGGTATACTCAAGTCCACCCCCACGGGTATGACCTCTCAGAACCCGCTAGCAGCACGGTTCAATCGTAGGCCAGAAACCAGTCATCATGCATCAACATATCAACCTGCTCCCTTCGACCAGGGCGACACTTGGCCGTACGACAGCCCTGACAATTACGACAGCTACGAGCACGAGACGGATTCCCAATCTGTCTTGTCCGAGGTCTCAACCAGCAGCACGCAGGCCACCAGCGTAGCATCAGACGAGACAGTTACCGACATGAACTGCCCACCGTCTGGCCATGTCAAGCATATCCGGCATGTGCCTTCACCTACTGTGGGGCGGGTCAAAATCAGGCCTCGTGCGCGGACATCTTCTTCCACCGAGTTGGCCAAGAGCCCACCTCAGAAGCGACAGGTCCACATCCAGATCTTCCCTCCGGGGTCAGCAGCATCCCAGGGCCACCAGGGCCGAGAGCTGCAGTTGTCTCGCAAGACGGAGCGGGACCTGCTCGACAAGATTGACGAGCTCGAGAACCAGGCCGTCAGTCTCCGGGATGTGCGAGCCCATCTCGACAAGGAGCTAGCCGAGGCCAACGAAAAACTCTCGGTCCGGACCCTTGAGGCCAGAGACCTGCAAAAGTCGCTCGGCCATGAACGCAACGCCAAGGAGGTACTGGCCCGGGAGCTGCAGAACCAGCGAACCCAGCTCGACGAACACCGCAGCAACCTCTCCTTGCAAAAAGGTATGCTGAATGACGCCGAGGACGAGCGGGAGACTTTCCGGGGAGCGCGGGACAGTCTGGAGAAGCAGCTTAGCCAGTTGGCACGAGACATGACAGCGCAAGAGACACGACACAAAGAGCTCGAGGCGATTCTGATACGCAAGGCTTCCGAGTCGGAGCAGTTGTCAAAATCCTTTGAGGATAAATTCGCTGCCCAGAACCGACAACTCAAGGATCTAGAAAGTCAGCGGAAATCTCTCAAACAGACGGTAGAAACCCAGGACAAACAACTCGGACAACTAAAGAGTATTACCCTTGAGCGTGACACCCTTCGATCCGATATGGAGAAGCAGCAGACAGTACATGCTGAAACGCTCAAGAAGCTCATTGTCGACCGCGATTCATTCAAGTCGAAACTAGAGGCACAAGAGAAACAGATGAAGGAGCTAGACGAGCTGATTCTTCAGCGAGACTCGTTGAAGGTCAAGATTCAAATTCTTACCAGCGAAAACGCTGCATTAAACGGAGACAAGGGACGACTAGAGGAGCGCAAGAACAGGCTCAAGGACCGTGTTGGTGAGGCGGAAAAGAAGAACGACAGCCTCACAAGAAGGATTGTAGAGCTACATTCAGAAATAGAAGGATTCAAGGGTGAGATTGCGGTCTGCAAGACACAGATCGGGGAATTCGAAGTTTCCAAGAAGGATCTCGAGGCACGGATAGAAGAGTCTGAGTCCAAGGCCAAAACGGCCATCGAGGAAGAAAAGGAAAATACAGACAAGCTCATCGCCACAGAGAAGACGAAGCTGGAGGAAATGCAGGCACAGGCAGCGACCGACCGGGCAGAACTCGAAGCCAAGATTACCAACCTCGAAACCGAGCTGCAGGGCGCCAAGGACGCCAACGTGGTCATCGTGTCGGAGAGGCTAGAAGCCAAGGCGAGGCTCGAGACTGCCACTGGGAGTCTAGCCACGGCTTACGCGGAAGTCAAGAATGTCCAGGACCGCAACAAGGACCTTGAGTCAACCATCGAAACGACCAAGGCGCAGATCACGGCGCTGGAGGCCAAGGCCGAGGAGCTGAACCGGCTCGGCCAGCAGCACAAGGAGCTCGGACAGCATGCTGAAGGTCTCCAGGCCGATCTTGACAAGCATGCCGTAGGCGCTGCTGCCCTCCAAGCTGACAAGGACAAGCTGGCATCAGATAGGGCCGACCTCGACGCACTGAAGGAAACGATGCAAGACGCCACAGCCATGACCAAGTTGATGGAAGAAAAAGCCAGCCTCGAAAGCCGCGTCAAGGACCTCGAGATGGAGGCCCAAGGTCTCAAGGCCGAAGAGACCATACTCAAAGGCGAGGTCGAGATCCTCCGCACCGAGGCTAACAAGGTACCAGCGCTGACGGAGCAGCACCACGCCGTATCGGCACAATTGGGAGCGGCGCTGCAGGATCTCGCGCACACCAGGGCGGCCCTCGAAGCTGCAGCAGCTCAGGTCAAGGAGCTCAACGCGCAGGCGGCGAAGCTTCGGTCTCGCCCCAAGGAGAGGAGCGGCTCGCGGCCCAGAAAGCACGATCGCTCTAGGTCCACAGGCTTGGTGTTTGTCAGGGCTCCTTCGAACAAGGGGACTGGCGTGTTTGTTACCACGCGGGAGGCGCTCAAGGCGGAGCAAGTTGAGAAGTAGTGAGTAGACGATGCTGCCCTGTGCAGTCCTCACCTGCTCTCTCCTCCCACTCTCCGCTGGAACCGAAAAGTGGAAATTGATTTTCTTACAATTGTCGCGTCGGACATTGTGTATTTTCGTATGTTTGAGATACGTGGCCAGAAGCCTGTGTTCCCTTTTTGTTCTGATTTGACGAGAAAATGATGGAAGTTGATGAGGGTACGATAAAGAAGAAGGAAGGGAGATTGTAATTTGTGGCTGCTGTGGCCCTGTAACAAGTCTTGTACGCTAACCTACTTCGGTGGAGCGCTTGTATGGTCAAGACAAGTCCTATAAGAGGCATAGACAATGAGCACAAGCTCGGATTCTGGGAAAACACGGCATATCTATGGTAAAAAGCATTGTGATAGCATGACCTGGAATGAAAACTTCAATTCTACTTGTAATCCGTCGTTTAATTTTCCTTTAATCTTTTCTTGTTCTCTTTTGGTCTTGTGTCTTATGTGGAAACATGGCTGTTGTTACGGGAAGAGGTTGTAAGCACATAGCGGTACGTAACCTGTGGATTTCGGAAATGCAATCATATGCACAAGCTAGGGATTATTGAATTGTGCAATTTGAATAAAGGTTATGCTCGTGTGTTCAAATTGAACATGAGTGATTGAGGTCAGCAGTCCATTCCAGGTCCGCACTTAATGCTAGGCCAGTGAGTAGTGCTCCGTGGAGCCGGAGTTGTGGACTTGTAAGCTGCCTGTATCACTGCGAGTCGCCCGACATTTACTTCTTTATGAGCACCTCCCCTTGAACCATTGACAGCGTCGCATCGTCCCTATCCTGCCATTCAAGCCATGCATCGCGCATCTCATCCATGTCGGCTTCCAGGATGCCGGATTTAATGTTGGATTCGCGGACCTGGGGGTTGTTGAGTGCACCATTCACCATACCTGCAGCTATAAGGAAAACACTGAATTAGTATGCCCGCGCAAAGAACAAGCCATCGACAAAGAACCATGAAACGACTGGTGGTCAACTTACCCCACATCTTTCTTTCCTCAGGCTCGGAATAGCTCCAGACACTAAAGCTTGTAGTGATCTTGCTTCTATCTCCGCCGTTGGCCTCGAGAGCCCAGGAGAGGAGCTGTCGGCCAGACTGCGTTGATGCGCCGCGGGCTCTAATAACTCGCACCTCGAGACTACACAAAGATATATTTGTGTTAGCTTGCAGGTTCTGATTTTGGGGACGGGCGTCTGGAGCCTCGTATTTGGAGCCAATCTGCTCTGCATTCACCTACTCCTCATGGAATTTGAGTAGCCCCGGGAGCGGTGGCCAGAAGACCTCCGTCTCCATGTCCCCCTCGCGCGCCGCCACAACGCCGCCAGGCTTGGTGACGCGTAACATCTCGCGCAGAATCTCGGCCTGGCCTTTATTGTGCGCAAGAACTTGGTGGCAGTGCACAATGTCAAAAGATGCGTCCTGGAACGGCAGATGGTGTCCATCCGCCGTCAGGAACGTGATCCAGTCCTCCCCATCGATGGGGACTCCGTAGCGGTCGGCGAGCAGCTTCTTTCCGCGCTGCAGCATGACCGGGTTGATGTCGACGGCCGTGACGCGGCCCCCGCCCGGACCGACGATATTGGCAAAGGACGCCGAGATGGATGCAGATCCCGCGCCCACGTCGAGAATGGTCAGCGCGGGGTTGCGCTGCTGCAGCTCTTTGAGTGTCGGCAACAGGTACGCGGCACTATTCTGTGCGGTGCGGTGTTCAAACACGCGAAACACGTCCTCTGGAAGCGTGCTCCAGTCCACCTTGTGTCCTGTTTCGGCGACCGTGGCGTTGGCCGGGTCCGTCTGATCGGCTTGGGACATGCTGGGTTGAGGTGATGTTGATAAGACTGGAATCTTGCTTAAGGTAATGTGTTAGCCTGCCAAGCATGCCAGTGCATGATGACTTAGAAAGTAACAAAGCGGGTTGTTGCATTCTCCTAAGTAGTTTCGAGTACGATCATATTTTGCTTACGCTGTCAGGTAATTCCGTGTTGGCTGCTGGTTTAGCATGGAATCTTCAACCTCCCTGCTGATTTTCTGCTCAGTGCTGGATGGCAGGCTCGCTTGGAACCTCTAAATATGCATCGGACGTGACAATGCACAAGGAATCGTCCAAACTATCCCTTGCGCAGATGACGCCGCCTTCGAACCAACATTAACAAGCAACTTACATCTTTGACCAATGGTCAGCCTGCTGCTGCTAGTAAAATGGGGTTATGTGTGCATAACGGCCAATTCCCAAATTCGCGCAATGATCTACTTAACAATCTAAACTGAATTTACATGGTGGAGACAAATCGCACAAATTCCGGCAATTGCAGTACGAGATAATAAGCAATAGGTGTCAGTTAACGCGTTGCCTTGGTAGTGCCTTTGAAGGTTGGATGAAGATTAGTACGAGACCTTCACAAGTGATTACACAAAGGTGTCTATACATTCCGCCAAGCCAAGTACTAGGTGCGAGGCAATGTGCCGTCGCTGCATGCTTATAGCCATGTAGCGTGAACTAGGCATGAATGCATGTATGAGAATATTGAATAAGCATAACGCTCTCGCCATCCTCAACGAGTAAGGTTGGCGATGGCTTTGAACCAGGTGAAGCAAACTTACTGACACACATTGGAGCGCTCCAGTAATCTACTCATCTGGTCGATTCTCGATTAATGATTTCATGTGTTTGGTCTATTATCTATGAAAAATGAATACTTAGATCATGTTTGATCCGTGAGTGCTTGCCGAGCCCCGGCCGCGATCATGGCCTCTTTGTTCCCCCGGATACTCTTCCGCACTGCTCCACTCGTCATTGCTTTGCTTGGTAAGTCTCAGCTTCTTTGGTTTTTCGACACCCGCAATCTGCTGCTCGAAAGACCTCAGCTCGACGTCGCTCCGGTTCTCAGCTGGATTGCTCATGACCGTCCACTCCTGCTTGATCCTGATTTGGGTGTTTTCCGATGTGCTATTCAAGCCCCCCATTCCCGATGAAGACATCTTGGACGAGAATCCGCGGTTGTGGCTTTGTCCGTGACTGTATCCGTAGTACTCGGACTTGCCACCTCGAGTGGTTCCGAATAGACTTGGGAGAACCTTGCTGAAGAGTGAGCGGACTGCGGGCATGCAGGCGCAGATGATGCCGACAGGAACTTCGATTGTTGACCAGTATCCAACCTCGACGTAGTCCTCTACACTTCCTGTCAGTGATTTGTTCCTCTGAAATCCATCGTCTCTCCCCAAGAAGAACTTACGAGTGACATTCTGCGTTGTACCAAACTCAATCAAAGACCGCAATCGTATCGCGCTGACAATGGTAACACTATTACAGAGAGTTTAGTGCGATAAATCACAACATCAACATCGAATCCAAAACTCACAAGAAGCCGACCATAAACATGAGCAGAATCTGAACCTTTTTCTTCCACGACATGGACAACTGAAAAAGTTCAGGGAGCGGCAAAAGAATGGTCGCCAGATCCAAGGCAATATTGATAGCGGCAGCCGACCAGCCGAGAATGTTGATGCTGACACATTTGGCATCGTATTCTCCGTCCCAACTCAGCCAGGCTCCGTTGATCGGCGAACATTGAAATATGAGGACGAGGACGTATCCGAGGGCGTAGCAAATGTTGAGGCTGATCAAGATATAGACGCAGATTCGAAACGATCTTTTTGGGAAGACCTTGAGGTAGAAGAACAAGATGGAGACTTTAGTCAGAGCGAGTGCGGTGATATATAGCATTTCGTCCCAAAAGTAATACTGTTTCCCTGTTAGATGTTTTCATACGGAATCGCCGGATCAGACAGCTCTTACGTAAAGAATGGATGTGATGTCATCAAAGTCGACAAACCACATATCAAGGCCCAAGCCATGCTGTGAAACTATAGTCAGGTTAGAAGAATGAATAGCCTCCTAGATATGTGGATGGACTTGCGTGGAACAGATAGCACGCAGAGTGGTATCATGAAAAGCATGTTGCCGCACATGACCCAGTCATCCATCCCCCAAGACTGAGCACCAACATATAGTCTGGCGAGGCATCGTAGTCCAAAGGCGAACAGCCCAATCGCACCAAACGTTACGCCAATGATCCAAACTTCGGCTCTTCGGTCTTCTCCCTCCTTCCCACATGTCACATAACTGTACTTTTGAGTTTCTGGACTCTCGTATTAGCCCTCGACCTTTCCAATTGCCTAGACTCCCCTATGCTTACGCAGTGCTTCTTTGATTGTGCAATTTGCCGTTACACAGGCCTCGATCTGGGCGTTTAGTTCGGCGTTGGTGCAGATGCAGTTGGCGTCCGTGATACTACACAATCCCGAGTGTGCTGTCGTTGTAGCAATGCATAGCAACTATTTGGCCAGTCAGCAATGCATAGTCCATGGTACGATTTCCTTCTCGGTCCAAGCCAAACGTACACCACAGGTCGGAGCCTCAACCTCGGAGGAATTTGCAGCCGCCACCGACCAAGCTGCCCAGAGGCAGGTGAAAACCACCGCCAGAAAACGCATCTCGTCGAATATTATGCCGTTGTCAAAAGTAGGCAAACCGACAGCTCACTCCTAACCCACGAACCACAACGGAAGAACAAGTAAGAAAGAAACGGGACAGACGCGGGCTATGCAACCTATGTAAATGCATTACCGATAGATTGGACTGTTTTCTCTTTCAAACCTGGCTACAGCGGCACTCCTCTTTTTTTTCCGCTTTCTGGGGATAGATAGAAAAAAAGACCGCGACGTGCATCTCGAACCATGCCCCTGGCTTTTCCCCAGGGTCCTTATACTAGTTCTTTTCGCCTACATAGGTACACAAACGGACCCTCGTGGAGCCCCTGTTATGTGCAGGTTGCAGCTTACACGTCGTACATACATTATTATCGCCCCGGATGCGCAGCCACCCCCCCCCCCCCCCCCCAACTCTTTTTATATACAAAATGTTTCTATCCCGCGCCAGACATACCACTTACCCATTCGACGAGCCCTCAGCGTGCATGGTACATGCAGATAAAGACCTCTTGGCAGCCACTGCCCTTGACCGAAGCTCCCGTCTGTCGGTCGCAGGTACTTACACTGTGTGAAAGAAGTTTATTGTCCATGACTTTCGAGATGACATTGAACAAATGCCATCACTGCGTACATCAGGACCTTTTTAGCCGCCTCTCTGTCTTGCCTGAGACGTTCGCTCCAGATGCGCGGCAGGGTTCAAAGTACTACTAAACCTTACATACCGGGAGTGCTTGCGTATGTAGTGATATTGTGCTTGTTGGGCCAATTCCAATCTGGATGATCATCATTCGCAAGGTCGGAATACGGATGGTCCCAAAAAGTCTTTTTTTTTTTTTTTCTTTTTTCCAATGAGTTCTATTTCTCTGTCCCCGAAAGTCTGGCCAGCAAGGCCTAAGAAGGCATCGTTGGACCGATCGGCGCCCCAATTTTTCGGAATGCAGGGGCAATTACTGCTTCTTCGGGAATCTCACCCGCCAAGCTAGGGCAAGAAACTAACGGGCTTTCGTCAGGGCCCTTAGTGAAGTCCATTACGTTTGTGTAAAATGGTAGTGCATATATATATGTACTTTGTAGCTGGGCCTGGATAAAGGCACTTTTTTTTTTTCCGAGAAAGAAGAGTTGATAATTGTCCAGAATCGGCGCTTCTCTCAGATCTAATGGGAGGAGGAAAAGTTTATTCTTTTCCTTGGACAAAGTCCACCTCCAAGTGCTTGAGTACCTATATACTCCGTCCATGTGTATGTACGAACGGAGTGCGGCCAGCAGGTAGACAGGCATGATGCGAGGACAGGCAAGGATTTCAACTGGCCAATCTATTCCGTACCCCTGCACCGGTAAGCCAAATCATCACCGTGTCGTTGAACCTCGACAGGAACTCCGCTCTACCTGCCTCCGATATGGGATGTGGGAGGCGGTCCGCGGCGAGTTCAGTTTTACACGTCTGGTTCAGGCAATCTACACACTACCGATCAATCTGCCATATTGAGCCGGAAATAATATATAGTAGCGTGAAGCCATCCGTGGAACCATGGTCAGAAACTAGGATCCCTAGCAAAGCAAAGGCCGACGTTGGCTGCTGGTTGCTATCCCAATTGATAGACTTCACTGGGTCAGGTCAGCCTCGCTGGGGTGGTGGGTGATGATCGTAGGCTTTGTAGCTTAGCCGAAGTCACCAGGGCACCCCCGGTCGGTTGCGTTACCGAAGGCATTCAACTGGCGGGCGTTGCACGGGTCGTTATTTGGCCGAGCCCTGGAGGTCGCATCCACGCGCAGACCAACTAGGGGGAGGGCAGAGGGATAGGCAATTCGAGAAGAGAGAGAGGCATCTTTGAGCATCTGGACCAGTACAGAGTACCGGGATGTCCATATTCCTTGCCCAATGGTAAATAAAGGTCAGACTCCTAGGACCATGTCAAAATCGAACGAAATGGGACGTTTCATTGCCTAGCTCACGCGAGTTGACGCGATGGTTGCGAGCTGCCAATTATGCAAAGGCGGGCTAACCTCAATTACCGTCTCAGCAATAAAAAATAAAAAAAAGCTAGAAGAAAAGGAAACGAACCGCTCCAAGCTTATTCTCCAGTGGCCATTCAAGAGAGCAGCCGTTACGTTTTTAACCCCTCATGGATAGTCGGCCCACCTACCCTATCGAAGTCTATCTCGAGATACAACACAAAATCTGTTCCAAGTGCTGCTGTTTGAGTTTTTCTTCTCATTTCTCTAGACACGTCGAGGTATGGTATGTGGATTATAGACCTGTCTGAATATTAGTAACCTATCTATTGTGATCATTCTCTCACTTATTTGAACGAGTATAAACTATTAACTTGAGCAAAATATGATACCAGCGATTCTGGCTATATTTCCGAAAATGGTTAAATATGGGGAGCGATCCTATCCAAGGAATTCCCGCCGTCACAACCGTCTTTCCGCGTCGCCGCCAGGAACGCTCAAGGACGGCATGTCACCCTCCCTGTACCCGCATGAATGGTTCTCATGTAGGCGGGTGGAGTCGCGAATTGCGTTCTGTCCTGCACAATACCCAATGAAGCTGCCAAGGAGGGAAAGATTTCACACCAACTAGGTACTATTATCTGGCATTGCCTTGCGGTGGCGGCCATTTTTATATTACATCCAGTTATCCCCGTTCAAATCACATGTGCAGCAAACATCTCGCACGCAACCTTCTTGGACTGGGCCGTTTTTGGCAAGAGAGAGAAAAAAAAAAAAAAAAAAAAAAAAAGACGCTGAAAAGATTGACAAGTCAGCAAAACAGCTGTAAAATGAGCTGACATGAGCTGAGATGCACCTTGGGTGGTATCACGGCAGTCACAGATCTTGCCAAATAAGAATCCCAGTTTCAATACATTTTCCCGTCACACTGCACGTGTGATATGGATTCATGCATCATGGCTTGCACATCTTCATATTGCGCGTAAATGGATGCGGTGGTGGGCACTGAGCACTGAGCACTGTTTTGCGCATTCTTGTCATAGTGGGAACGATGCTGGTGAGGAGTGATATTCTGTACAGATAACATGTTGTACATGTGTCCGTCAAAGCAGTTGCTACAAACCAGTACTTCTGTCGACGGGGAGGTCAATTGACGGTCCACGATTTACCACGGGTTCCAAACAGTGAAAACCCCCACATTTCCTCCGACCCGTGGAGCAGCAGCATGGGTCAAATCTGCTCGTCTATCAGAAGCCGCAGTATGCGAACAAAGGGCCTGTCTGGGAGTGGGCCAAGAACCACCATTGTCCATGTCTTTTGCCCCGGCCCAACAATCCTCCTTCTGGTTTCGTCCCGACGTGGTGGAATTGATAATGGGATCCAAAACATCTTTTGCAGGGCAACGTCATACTAAGTATTAATCCAACCGAGACGCCCCCGACAAGGAAATTCTAGACCTCTTAGAATCCCAGAGCAGCGTTGAAAGCGTCCGCCGTGCTGGCGTCCTTGGTCCCCAGAGCCTGGACCTGGGCCTTGGCGTCTTCGCACAGGGCCTTTGCCGCGTCATTGGCATCGCACACGTTGGTAAGCTGGTCGCAGACGCGGTTGGTGATGATGTTGGGGTTCAGTGCATCCTATTTGACAATCATGCAATCAGCATTTGGCCTCATACCCTTTTGATAGTTCTACAAAGGATAATGACAAGAGACAAGGAGGAAAGAAAACATGACGAGACTTTGCAAGTATCTTGCCTGTTGCCAGGCTGTGTGATAGAAGGTGGCCCACAGGCACCGGGGGCCAAACGGGGCAAGATTATATGAACGTCGCATCTAGCGCTTACCTGCTGGCCCTCGGCTACGAGAGGATCGACGGGCAAAAAGGTGCCCTCGTCCGCCTTGCGGCCCTCGCGGCCGAGCTGGAAATCAATCGAGGGATCGCACTGGCCAAAGTCGGCGCCGCTGGCAGAGGCCGATGCGGTGCCATTCTGGCTCTGGCGCGGCTTGTAAATGTTGAGCGCCGAGACGCTGGTGGCGGCAAAGAGGGCCAGGATGATTGACTTGGGCTGCATCTTGTGGGATTTGGAACGGAAAAGACCGGCTTGCGGAGTAAAGAATAAGTATGTATAAAAGAACGTTACAAAGTTCCCAGAACTTTTTCGAAACGAATGAGATCAACTCGCGGGGACGAAAGGTGAAGAGACTTTGGATGAACGACTGCTTGGGTTCCAAAAATTACGAGATCAAGCCATCAGAGGTTCATCTTATATCTGCAAAAAAGGCCACGGGCATCTGAGGCTTTGATCTCATAACCCAAATTGAAAGAGGTCGCAGAATAGTGCCAACACAAGATGCGATACACGCCGAGCATGAGCCGTTGTCGGTTTGCGGCAGCGATCGGCAAGGTACCGAAGCTTGCCGGACGCCGATCATACGCTACGCCGTCTGAACCACACGGGACGAAGATCGGATGGTGGGATTCTGCCACGACCCGCGAAGCGCCAAGATGTTAGAGCCGCCAGTCACTCTGGCAGATTTCCATCTCCCAAACATGAGATGAAGCCATCCCATGTGTTTGGTTGGATGCATTTCAGACGAATGACATCAGACCCGTGCGGCAGGTCACATTTGCCTATTCGTCGCATCAACATTATTTCCTCGCAAATTCTCTTCATCTTGATTCATTTACTATCAATGCTGGCATTTTGCATTATGTTATAGCAGTTCGATCATACACGTCTCTGCCAGGGTGGCTACGGCACCATCCTGTCGCATATTTCCAGGCATAGATTAAGCTGATCGTGTCAGCATCCTCCACTGTTCATCTGGGACGATATCCCTGGACTGCTTGACGATAATCTGGAGGATATTTTCACTAAAAGAAGGCGAAGAGCTATATCGTTCTTGAAACATTATTCAATTACTTTATCATGACTGGAGATGTCGTATCTAGTACATGGCCAACCAACGTCTATGCTCCCGACTCAACTGGGGATGCTCATGATTGACCCAAACAGAACCTCTGTAGGAGAGGTGGTATAATTACCCTTGACGCCTCGCAAAGCTCCTTAAAAACAATTCTATGCCCCAGAATAGAGTGCCTCTAAATTCCAGTATACATCATTCCCAAAACGACAAGCAACCAAAGTAAAATGTTGGTCGCATTCATCAAAATAGGCTGGACTTATGCCATAGCCATTTCAATATTCTTGCCCTTGACGGACTTCCACGGGATCAAGGCGCTTCCGAAGACGGTGAATACACCCAGGCCGATCGAGACCAGGAAGCCCTTGGTGAGCGCAGTGCTGTATGCCGCAATGACACCAGTCAAAAACTCGGCGGGGACCGAAGACTTGAGGTTCGTGGCACCAGCGTACTCCACGATCGTAGGGTCAAGGGTCGGGACGTTCTCGGCCAGCGATGCAACGAGCTGGTTGGTGAAAATGGACTGAGCGACACTGACGAACAGAGCTCCGCCAAGGGTTTGCAGGAAAATGACAACCGAGGAGCCGGTGGGTATGTCAGTGATGTCAAGAGCAGTCTGCACAGCCATCATGGGCTGTTGCATTCCGAAGCCGACACCGAGACCGAATATAATCTGGTAGCCAATCCACTTGCCCGAGCTGATGTCCGGGTGGAAGGTGGAGAGAAGACCGGCGCCAATGGACATGAGAACGGTGCCAATAATCATGAACGGAGCATAGTAACCCAGCGCGGAGACCATGCCGCCGGCAAAGATTGACGAGATGACGACGGCCAGCAGCATTGGAAGGTTGCGAATACCCGAGTCAACAGCCGAGACACCCTGAACTGCTTGGAACCAGATGGGGATATAGTAGACGAGCACGAAGAAGGCTGCTCCCGTGCCGAAGGCGTACAAGCTGCCAGACCAGACGGAGCGATTGGCGAGGATTCTCGGGGGGACCGTAGCATCTTCGCCCTGTCGCCACTGGACCAGGACAAACAAGATGATGAGAACGCCAAATAGCACAAAGAGGGCAATAATGCGACCGCTGTTCCAGGCATAGGTAGTACCGCCCCACTGAAGGGCGAGCAGCAGGCAGATGATCGCGGGCATGAACACAACGGTGCCAATGGGATCAAAGTGCCAAACCCTCTCCAAGAACGTTTCGTCCTTTGGCTTATCCACCTTGGGGCTGGGGAAAAAGAAGAAGATGACAATCATGGTGACGGCACCAATTGGCAAGTTGATGAAGAAACACCATCGCCAGGTCTATGGATGCGAATTAGTAAAGACTCATTATGAGGTTTGGGAACTTTCAAAGACTTACCGCCTTATCAGTAAAAGCACCTCCCATCAAGGGACCAGCGACGGATGCAATACCGTACATGCCTCCAATCAATCCAGTGTAAATTGGTCTCTTGGCGAGCGGGACACTGTGGGCGAGGATCAGGAGGGCACCGGAAAAGATACCAGCCGAGCCCATACCGGCAACGGCACGGCCAATGATGAGGGTGACGGAGTTTTGAGCGACACCACAAATCAGACTACCAAGTTCGAAAACGCCAATGGCACTCAGGTAGACGAGCTTGATATCCATGAAGGTGTAGAATTTTCCAAACATGAGCTGGAGGGCAGCTGTGGTGAGCAGATAGGCACTGCCATACCAACCGACATCGCCGAGACTGTGGAATTCATCCGAGATCTTTGGGATAGCAGTGGCGATGATTGAATTGCTGGTGGTATGTTAGTATTGTTTCGCGACCAGAATGAGAAATGTTCAACTTACTCTAGAGCAATCAAGAAGACACTGAGACACAAGGCCAAGCTGATCAGGAAGAGCTTGATTCCTGTGGGATATGCAACACCATCCTCTCTTGTTTCTGTTTGTCTTAGGGCATTGCTGTTTTGCGACCGAGCCGTTATCGTCTTTGTCAAGTCGGTGAGTTTTTCTGCCTCGGCGGGCGTTGGAGCCATTGGTTGGAGTTTCTCGTTCATGACGTCGCTTTTCGAAGCTGTATCGACATCCTTTTCTCCGTTGGTGCCTGCCAAGCTTGGTGTACTCTCGGCAATGGTGGGTGCTTGAGATGTGCCCTCGAAGGAGCTTTGATGCCGTGGCTCGAGCATCTTGATGCCAACACAAGGAATCTAACAAGATTTGGCTGTCTGGAATGCTTTGCTTCGCTTTCGTCCAAGCGCGTATTAGAGATGGACTGTCTTGGTATGAGCGGGTGGCGAAGATACTAGTTTGCTGATCTTCGCTGCTTGTTTTATTGTCGATTGAATATACAATATGGAACAAATGGTAGCACCGGTATCACAAGGGGCGGGCAGCTGACAATTAAATACTAAACAAGACGAGCGCCTTCATCTATATCATCTCTCCTATTATTGCTGCTGAAAAAATAAAGTCCCCAGACCCACGCGACGAGTAGACGAGAACAAAGGCCGGGCCCGTATGACCAGCACAAGCTCGCAATGCCTGCAGCACATCATCCCGCCCAGCAACGGGGATAAGGGGCCCCTCGGACTCTAGTCGACTCCGCCGCGATTCACCAAAAAGCTCTAAATTTGACAGCGGTAACCCGTTTTGGCTGCCCGGGCTGGGCGCTATTGGTCACTCGGAGACATTCCAGCTAAAGCCTAGAAGATTCTCACAGTAGAGGCCCTGAGGAGGAACGCCTAAACGTGGTAAGCTGTCTCACAAAGCTGGGTCTGTTCGGACAGATTCAGATCTGATTACCAAGATGTCTCCGTCCTGGTTGATTATCTGCCTTGCTTCTATGTGCATGGCTTACTTTGCCAGGGGGTTACGTGGCTATCGTATACCTTGAAATGATAGAGTTTGTTGTTTTCGTCCAAGAAGATTCCCCGTAATCCGGACCACCACCACACCTTAGTCATTCCGTGCTACCAGTCTAAAGATGTCCAACCTGTGATTCGATTGAGTTTTCAATCTGAACACATCACAAAAGGTTCATGACGTCCAGTGCGGCTGAAATTGCCTCACAATCAATCGCATTGCTACCAAAGGAAGGATTTCCCTTCCCAGCATCATTATGATACAGATCTATCTAACACGCTTGGCGAAGCTTGGTCAAACACAGTTGCCTGAGACGGGCGACTCGAGTCTGTGGAGAATTTGACGTTAAATCCGCCTGCGTCCGTCCATTATTCGCACGCACATTTCGGACTCCAAGCTAAGGACCCCACCGAAGGAGTCATTCAGAATCATATCCTGTCATGTTGAGTCGAGAGGAGGAGGTGCACGAGAAATTTTTTCCCACTTGCTCGTAGTCTCGTTGCAGTTTAGCTACTATACTAGGCACATTATGCCAAGACTCAATCGCAGTTCAAATGTTGCTTTTCAGCTTGATCTCCTTGTGCCACACCGTCGATGGCTTAGCGGGCTTGCGCCCATTATTATTAGGTGACGGTACGGTACAGCTCAAAATGTCTGTGTCTGCCGTAAGGTAATTTCACGGAAGCCCGTCAATCTGCCTGGGTGCCTTGAAGATTTTCCCCTTCGACCTTGCATGCAGGTAGAGGTAATGATCTTATAGAGAATCTGGCCTGCTCTTCAAAAATCTCTCCGAGCTGCGCGGACTTTTTTGTTACACGTTTCATGGCATATAGGAGACGGAACCTAGAACGATTCCTGATGACTCATGTAGCCGACTGCCTGGAACGCTAAAGACTTGCTCCCACTGCAGGGCCTAGAGTTCTACCAAACAGGCTAGACAGGGCCTGAGTGCCCGCTATCCATTCTGTCCATAGCGCTTCTTGTTCAAGCTTAATAAATCTAATTCGGCCTCGGTCTTCTCAGAGTCCCGTTGTCCGTCCTCTAGTCCTAGTCCGCCGTAGCAGCTTATTCGGGACCGGTTCCAGTTGTTCGACTTGATCTTATCTCCGCTCCGCAAAACGTAGGCATTCCCTGAATTGTGTCCTTTCTGCTCTCAGGGCTGCGATGAGCGTTGCCCGTCACTGTTAACTCCGGAACGGGCTGCAGTCGTCCATGGTGGGTCACATCGGCAAAGTCGTGGATCTTTTGAATACCTTGAAGCCAGGTCAACATGAGCATGGATTGGTCAAGTGCCAGTAATAACGGTTTTTGAGATAATCGCGTGCACAGGATCAGCCTCCTTCACTAATAAAGGGGCTAAAAATGTAGAACCGGCAACCCCTTTAGGTTGTCACACACGGGAGAATGCTTATGCCGTGGCTTAGCAATAATCTGCTGGCGCTCGACCTAGCCAAGACAATTGTACACTACAGGCTGTTCCCGTCGCTATGGTTCTGACATAAGACGATAGATTATTGCGCTTGAATACCTATGTATGTAATCCTGTCAGAATCAACTATTTCAGGACTCGTTATTAGTTGAAGACCCTTGCATCGTCGTATTCTGCCTCTTTATGGGAAGTGGTCAGTGAGTTGGGGTCGCGAGGAAGAGTCACAATCTCCACTTCACACCAATATGTGCTTCGAACTGGCCTTTGTTGTTGTTCTTCTTGTTCTGTGTAAGCTGACGTTAGTGAGCACGTCCTTACAATATGTGGTATCTATCGGGGAACTCGAAGACTTCACAAATAGACACGGTGAGGTTCCTCAGGCATTTGGAGGTCTGTTTGGCCAATCGCAGTTCATCGTAGACTCCGTCGTTAGCTGGAACCACGTGACGCGTTGAAGAAAGGTCTATGGTCAAATTCTCAACTGGGCAAGACTTCAGATGCCGCTGTCGGTGTATAGATATGCCCGAGGATGTTGTATTCGGTCTGCGAATTATGGAGATCTTGGTGAGCAGAAGGCAACATGAACATGCCACGATGGCCACGACGCAGTCCTGGAGGTGACATGCACGCCCTCGTCAAATGCGATACTTGTCCAACCCGTGATGGCGAAGGCTACCGATGGTCATTGATGTCAAATGCTGGCTTTCCAGCTCTGCGGGCCGAGATGCGCAGTCCAGCAAAGATTCAGGCCAGAGCCAAACCTATGGCATAGGATACTGTGAGGCTCGGTCGTAAGTTGTCGTACGCATGTTCTTGGTAGTATTCGATTCATTCTAGTATAAGACTTATGGCAGAGAAGGAGTTATGTTGTTGGCAGATCAAAATGTGGCATACAAGAAGCTAACATCCTCCTCGCATATACTAATTTCTACATATGTAAACTGAAAAATAGTTAGGAAAATCAATTTGCACCACAATCGAACTCTTACTTCAAATTTCACGTGTACTTATGGTCGGTAGTGTTCCTGGAGATTCTCCAGAGGAAGTTTTCACACGCTTGACGACCGCGCTGCCAGACCTTCTGCAAGCTGTACCAGATGGCGAGACTGGCGAACGATGGAATTACATTGGATGGCAGTTGTCACGGTTTCCTCTCGTGGCCCGCTGACTAGAGCTTGGGGGTATACCAGTACCGGAACCCGGTGTGCCGAAGTTCTCCCTCGAAGAGATGGAGCCAACAGGCTACGACGAAGCGGTGCTCTCTTCTTATGAGAAATTCAAAACAACTTCGCCGACAGAATATTATCCCGTCAAATGTCCGATTTCAAGTCTGTCTGCCTCCCCCGTACAACGTCCAGGTTGTCCATTGCAAGCACAAAGTAGTCAATGCCATTGAGCCACTCTATGAACAGCGTTTTGAGGAAACGATTGATCGAATCGTCGCCGGTATACCTCATGACGATATGGTGATCCAATGGGACTTGTGCTTTGAAATGACGGCACTTGAGTTCGAACAAGGCCGTGTCACCGAGGACCGCCATCAAGCCTATTTCCCATAACCTCAGGGAGGCCCATTACAGGGTCTTCTAGACCGCGTGGCACGACTATGCCGGAGAATTCCTCAAGACGTCAATATTGCCTTTCATCTCTGCTACGGCGATCTTTACCACAAGCACTTTGTCGAGCCTCAAGACACGGCGCTCCCGGTCAAACTCACCAATGCCATCTTGGCCCGTGACAACATCGCCTTGCGCACGGAATGGATCCACTTGCCCGTCCCGAAGGGACGAACTGACCCCGAGTACTTTTCGCCTTTGGCCGGTCTTGAGCTCCATGATCACATTGGTCAAGGTCAGAAACCGCCGCGCCTTTACCTCGGGCTGGTGCATGCCAACGACGAGGTCGGGACAAGGAAGCGTATCGAGATGGCAGAGGCCACTGTTCCATTTCCCTTTGGCGTGGCAACAGAGTGCGGTTTGGGCCGAACTCCTGGAGAGATCGACAACATTCTACAAATTTGCAAAGACGTTTCTATAGAGATTGAATAATTGTACGGTCGCTGCCTGGTGGCCAGCTCGAAACTCATTTTCCTAGTCTGCCATCCGAAGACTTGAGACGGCACAGATGGTGGTGTGGACGGTTGCCGTTAGTTGAACATCATTCGCTTAGAAAAATCTACATGACGATTATGTCGCTTATATTACGTATCCAAGATGCAAGTCAGTGTGATGTTGTGTACGCAACTTGCCTGCACGGCGTGGCGTCCTGTACCGTCAGTCTCACCAGGTAGCTCCGAGTATGTGAGCCTGTATTTCTTCAATACTTGGTTTGCCCAAAGCCAAATGGTGAACGGGAAGAAATTGTGACATTTCTGCTTGATTTGCAATTTAGGAGATGCCATCGCCCATCAAGTCATGCCTGCTCTATACCTAGCGAACTCGGTTGCCGTCGCTGGCATGACGTTTGAAGGCGGCTGAAGCGGATTAGAGAAAGGGGTAGTGGAACATTGGCTATGCTGCGGCCGTAGTTAGGCAGACCCCTGATGATCGATCGTATCAGCTAGCTACAACCGCACGGCACATACAACCTCAACCTAAATATTCTCATGGTTTCTTAGATATCAAAAACAACGAAGAAACGTGCCGACTAACCGATTGATGTCATACTCACAAGTCAAGGCTTGGATGCAAGCCGATTATATCCTCTCTAGCCAGTCGTGTTACTCATAACAATATATATGGGAGTCTTTCATTTAGCTTGCTTGCTGCTATTTCCAGCTTTCTCAGGACATCGAACAATACCTGCCTTGGTACAACATTATTGATCTAGGTTCTTGCGACGACATTTTTCAAGATGCACAAACTCACAGCACTTGCTCTCGCCACAACCTTTGCTATGGGGAACTCTAGACATCATGGTGCCACAGGAAATGTCAATATTATCGTGAAATTCGACAATCTCGTTGTCAAGGGCAGTGATAATACTACTTCCATTGGCATCTATAATGGACTCAACTTTTCAAATATTTGTAAGAGATTTCCCTTTGCTGAATCCGTCGTCTGATTCCAGCCGGTACTAACAAGACTGCTGGATTCAGGGGTGGGCTATCAAGCCTCTGCTGATACAATTGATCTCAACGGGTCGGCTGCCTATGGAATTCGGTCACCTTCTCGAAACAAGGTCGGTGTCTGGCAGGATGAGGTTGGCAAATCTCCGCCTTCCTTTGGGGTACACTACTTGGGAAGCAAGTTCGACTCCTTTGATCTGAAATCATTCAAATGGGGATGCGCGCCGGAGATGGAGCCGTGCGCCTTTGCCGCGATAGGGAGTCGAGAAGGGGAAGAGGGATCGAGCCAGTCATTCGGCCAAGACCAACCTGGTGGCGACAGGTTTGGTGTGGCGATTACCGAACCACTATATTTCACGAATGTCGACTTGGTGTCCTTTCGTACCGATCCCCTTGATACCAACAAAGTCAACGGAGATGTTTGGATCGATGAGCTTGAATTAATCCTGCACCGGCGTGGTCCATCTAGCCTGACCACCACTGCACCCCCGACCAAGACCCAACCAGTGCCTCGTCCCTTGTTTACCAAGTCGCCAGTACCTCCACATCTGGTTCTCAACTGCCCCGATATCTGCGTCGCCAATTCCGACGATTGTGGTCAGAACTGGGGTGGGTGCTTTGATTTTTGCCTGTCCCCTTGGCCCACGTTCACGCCACCAACAGTGTGCACCATTACCTCCAATGGCGTGGCGACCACTGGCGAGACCACAGCGACCACGGTCATTATGCCCTCCACGACATCAACTCAGTCTGCCGCAATACCATCATCCTAGATTGTTGGAAAGCTTGGTTCATGATCTATAGTGAGTGACAGACTCATAACTCATCAGAGAAAAGTAAAAATCGTGGAACGATCGGTATTAGCCGCTCTTTATTGCCTATTTTCAATGCCCTCTTTGGAGCAGCATCTGTCCTTGCCGACACGGCAACATTCTCGTTAGAATACAGATGTTACAACCTATGTTGTACTTTAATCACTGCTTGTCTACTGCGCTGCGTCTGTAATCATTTTGTGCACCACTACGCTCTCCTACGACTGGAAATGGCTATCACGAGCCCTTCCGGTCTTGATTACACCTGGACTTACAGACTCTCCGCTGCATTGCTATTGTCGCTGTCCTAAATTGCTCTGCGCTTAGGAGCACTTCACGTATTTATTGCAGTGAAACCTTATTTATGTGGCCTATAATCTTGAATGCGCTAGTTGAAAGTCTCTGGAAGATCGTGCCAGCAATGGGAGATAATATACACTTACGGAAAAGGACATTGCTCTAAAACTTCCCAGCATTGACAAATGCTGGATATTTGTAGTTTCCCATCGTTGTGGTTGTTCTGCGAAACACTCTCTTTACGAAAAACCTTAGAATAGCTGTTCAACTCTGGCGGGTTGTCTGGACTGAACATACTTGTCGTGGATACTCATCATGAAAGCCCTGCTACAACACTGGCCGCAAACAACCTCTTTCGCTGCCTTCTTAGTGCTGGTGCCACCGCTCTTGCCGTACCGTTAATCGACAGAATAGGGGTTCGATATCCATATAGCATGGCTCAGCGCGATAAGCCCATTGCCTTTTTTTCCCCTTTCTCTTTTTCCCAAAGTTGTTGAGGCATCTTTTGACACGTCGGACTTCCCATCGGGCCGCCCGGCAGCTGCGAGGTGTCTTAGCGAGGCTGTAAGCTGATGATCATGGATGTCGAGAGGGGGTTCTCTTGGCTGTTGCATTCTTACACAACACTGGGACCGAAAGATCGACATTAATTAACAAGGTCGTGTACTAAACGGTGAACATGAGGCTCATGAACGCAAGGACAGGACAACTAGAGACTTTCCTCGCCAACATCCCACCCTACGCCATACTCTCGCACACCTGGGGCGACCACGAGGTCACGTTCGCAGATCTTCATGGAGCCCAACATCCTGCCAGCGATAAGATCGCCAATACCTGCCGTCTAGCACTAGAGCAGAATTTATGTTACGTATGGATTGACACCTGCTGTATCGACAAGTCCAGTAGCGCAGAATTGACGGAATCTATCAACTCCATGTTCAAGTGGTATCAGCAGTCCGTCGTGTGCTATGCATATCTCGAGGATTTCGAGTCCAACGATACATTCTTCGCTGAATGCAGGTGGTTCACTCGAGGCTGGACGTTGCAAGAGCTTCTGGCACCCACAACGGTCGAATTCTACGACAAGAGTTGGAATTTCCGGGGAATAAAGCAGGAATTGGTTGACCCAATCTCCGCCATCACACATATCCCGAAGGAAGTCCTACAAGGCAGGTGGTCCTTGGAATCATGCTCTGTTGCGTCCCGAATGTCATGGGCCGCAGGCAGAGAAACGACAAGACCGGAGGACATCGCCTACAGCCTTCTCGGGCTTTTCAATGTGCACATGCCGCCTATATACGGGGAGGGGAAGAATGCATTTCGACGTCTCCAAGAAGAGATAATAAAGCGCTCCAACGACCTGACCATCCTCGCTTGGCGATCGCCTCAGTCTGATGGCTTGCCAGCTTTGGACGCTCTTGGACTGCTTGCCGAGTGCCCTGATTGGTTCCAGTATAGCAAAGCTATACAGCCGTTTAGCGACGACTTTTCAATACGCTTCGCCATCACAAACAAGGGTCTTCATATATCTAGAGATGCCCCTCATCGCCTTATCTCTGTCGCAGACGGCGAAGGCAGAGACGAAGACCTGATGTACGCCCTGTACCTGGGCCGTGACAGTAACACGAACGAGGAAGGAGGCATCTTTTTACAGAAAATCGGACCTCACTTATTCCGTCGCAGTTTTCAGCGTCCGATGGCCGGCTTTGATAGGGAGGAGAAGCAGCTGGCTATGTGGCACGTCCCGGACTATCACATACTTATCGATCCGAGCCCCCCTTCGATAGACATGAAGCACATGGAAATGGCCCAATACTTTCGTAGAGGAGGCTTACATGTTCCAAACAGCGATGACTTCAACATTATGGATGCCGTTCCCGCCCCATTATGGGATCACAGGGACCGTATGTTCCTAAAGTCCAAGCCTTATTCCTGGGCTAAACACGAAGCGGTCCTCGCCTTGAAAGTCAATTGGTTTTTCAAAGGGATCTTGATACGCCTTATAATATTGTGCGAATGTCAAAGGAAACTGACCAGGCCAGTGGTGAGAATCCTTTCTCAGGATCCACCTCCGGCGTACGCAGTGGCATTGTTTAGCTCGCGGAAAAGGAACGTCGCTGTACCTTGGGAAGAACTGGAAGCTGAATCGCCAGACGTGCTCAATTCGGCAAACCAAGTAGAAGTCCAAATGGGTAAAAGCACCCTCACCATTTCAGCCGAAATTGTGGATGACACATCGACACGGGAACTTGAGCTGCTGAAGCTCATCATATATGCGGAAGAAAACCAACCGCTCTCTTCAAGCGCCGATGTAGTTCTCGACGATTGACACAAGTGAAAGGGTCGTGAAGGATTGACCAGAACACCGACGAAGCTGATGACTCTCAAATTTCTTTCATGCAAATGAATTATGTTAGGGATTTAACAAATTCGACCGCTTTGAATTTGGTGTTGCACTGACTTAGTCAGTACCCACCGCAGATCACCTGCTAGAGTATATTATGTAGAATGCTCTTCAGCACTCCCTTTTATAGCTCAATAGGATCCACAGCAACTCCTCTTTAAGCTCCTCATGCTCTACAGATTGGCTCAGGTGAGACCTACTACCAATAGAGCCACGCAGCATTCCATCCCAGAATGATGGTGTTTTGCTTGTGAATATGAACATCACCCGTTTATTGCTCTTCAATTTCTTGCGACAAAAGATGATACTTTGTGGAGACTGCAACTCAGCTGTGGCACAGTGCTATTGCCACCTACGCACAAAACCCTTTAACCCCCACCGAAAAACAGTAATCGTAGAAGCTAAACGTCGTGAACGGTGAGAATGCGTCATGGGTGTGATAACAACTATGCAGGTCGATGAACTCGTAGTAGCTACGCCAGCCTGTGCAGTCGGGATCGGCAAAACATAGTCTGTGACATGTGTACTCGGACATAGAGCTGGGAACAATGTACCAGGACACGTTGGCCCCAACGGGTTCATCGTGGCACTCGACCAAGAAACCGTTGACGCACTGCTCTGCATCTGTCTGCTCGGTACATAGAAATAGCGGTTCTGGAGTCGGCTGTGTCGTGGCGGATGGAAGAGTACTCGTCGTTGTGGGCGCCGTGCAGTCCGTTGCTGCCATTGCCGAGAACGTCACCTGTTCACATGTAGTAGAGATCAAGGTAGTCGCAAAAGCCAAGCCCGTGTCAAGGCAATCTACCGAATTGAAATGTGTTAGACCTGTCCTTTCGAGAAAGTAGGAGACATTTGTATGCGACAACGCTTAGGAACAACTAATTGGAATCTTCTCATGCCTAGCATAGAGCCAGAAACAACCTTTCAGAGTAGGCTGACATCTGACACCTCGGAGTATGACGACTTACATTGAAAGAAATTTTTTGCATTCATTGGATGATTGCAGGTGAGGATACCAGTACTGCTTAGCTCGCATTTGAGTGCAATATAATCAGAGATACCCTGGAGTTGTGCATCTGTCTTAAAGAATACTTCAGAAAAGAAACCTGCATTTCGATAGGCTGCTGCAATGAGTCCATTGTGATTTGGGGCGCTTTCATAGTCGATCAGCCTGCCAGTGCTGGTGTCCAGAGCCAGTTTCGCTGCCCCTGGTTGATAGTTCGTGAGGGACCCATAATGGGACTCGGCGTGCTCGTAGAGATAGAGGAGACCTGCATGTGTTCCGTTGGCATAGAGAGCAGAGAGAGTGAAACAGTCTGGAGAAACTGTGGTCGGCGGCGGCGGCGGCGGCGGTGGTGGTGGTGGTGACACGTGATAGCCAGCTGACACCGCTGCGACTGCTATAGATGCCACCAGGATCTTGCAATCAAAGGAGACCATGACGGTAGGATTATAAGGACGTGTAAACAATGATTCTCCGGGCTCATGTAGAAATGAACAATAGAGGCTGCCATCAAGATCCGTCGGCGGCTTTGATATTTATACCCCATCAAGACTGAAATAAAGAAGTTACTGCTAGTGACCGGTTAGTACTTGTTCCTCTTCGCCTCCCAGCAGAAGCTGAGAAAAACAAAAAGATGAGGATCGGCTTTGCGTTCCCGCTGTTTGATACTTCAGCCACACGGGCAATTAGGGTTTGTCCCGATGGTGGCACTTTCCAAATGGGAGTTACTATGAAGGCCCTTGCGATTGAAACAAAAATTGGTAATAAAAACATGGATTTTGTTATGGCCCGTCTTCGCAATCTGGAGTCTCGCACCAATAAGGTGTACCAAATAGTGAGCCAAGCATATACAGATGACAAAGAGGCGAAGAGGTTCGCCTCTAGTAGTTTCACCGATTTACATCACTATAGGGAAGCGGGATTCATCTTACCTTATTGTTACACGAGGCATGCGCTGTGTCTATTTGACACTTTTCCAATTCATTCTCCCACTATATAAGCATACGCTGAAAATCTGGGGAACTACCTATTTATGGATCGATGGGGGGATATAATACTAACGGCCCTTTTGCAATTTTCGGAAGGATTAATTATATTTGTATTTAGAAATACGGGGTTAAATAGGCATCTCATAAAAGCTGCTAATTTTTTTCGATTGGATTATTTCGTATTACTTTTATCGAAAAATATCTTTACCCAGACCCTGAAAGATTTGCTGTATCCAAATTTCTTTGATATCCCTACCACAGGTAAACCACCCAAATCGAACCGAGTCGTTGCGGACTTTGCGATCGTTGACTCTAAAAAGTATACAACACTAGGAGTGTAGGTAGACAACTGTGTTGTTCCAAGCTGTAACGAACGGGCGCCTGTCTACCGTTACGCCAATTTGTGGACAAAGGATCAGGCATTGACTGTAATTGAGTCTGCCCGTTGGGCAGCTCTATTGATGCATCTCAAGTCGCACAGCATGCGGGAGGCCGGCCAGAAGTGCGGGGTCTCATTGCAGCAACTGCAAATATGTTGGCGCGTAATCGCAGACAAATGGAGACTTTGCCTTCTTCATTGCGTTCGTTGCATGATAATACTCTTTCCAATAACAACAAAAACGACGACGAAACGACATAGATACCGCCACATACAGACGAGCCAAAAAAAGAGAATACGAGAATCATCCAAGAAAAAGCTGCAAATCAGAAATGGCTGGCCGCGCGTTCTCTCAGTTATTGGGGCAAGGCTACAATCAAGTCACAACCTCAATCAACGATGTCAACTGGGACCAGCTCGGTAAGAACGCCATCGGCGTCACCGTAGCAGCAGGCCAAGGCCTCGGAAACGCTCTGGGACACGCCCAGACTGCAGCTGTCAACGTCGATTGGGGCAAGCTTGGTAAGGACGCAGCGACTACCGCCGCGGCAGCGGGAGAAGGACTTGGGAAAACCTTACAGCATGTCGAGACAGCAGTCAGGGAGACTGACTGGGCTGAAGTCGGGCGCTATATTTCTGCGACTGTCAAGAACAACCCAAAGACTGTATTGGTTCCTGTCGGCGTTGTAGGGGGTGCTGTTACGGGTGGTTTGCTTATGGGACCCGTCTTGGGCGCCGTAGGCTTTAGCAGCATTGGTCCAGTGGCGGGTAAGAAAGTATTCCTTCCCCTCATCAGACGTGAGCTGATATGTGATACTTGATAAGGATCGATGGCGGCAGGTATGCAGTCAGCCGGTACGGCTGGCGCGTTGTTCAGCACGTTTCAAAGTGCAGCCATGGGAGGCTATGGAGTAGGAGCTGTTATGGCTGCCTTCGCCGGTACCGGGGCCGCGGTCGGTGTGGCCGCCGGGACAGGTGCAGCCGTGGCTGTTGAAACTACTAGTAATATGGATGATCCCAAGCCTGCAGATCAGGACAAGGCTACAGATGAAGACGAAAAACCCAAGGCCGACTGAATCGACCTAACTGAGTTGGCTTGTTACGACAAATGAAGACACAACAGGCCGCCAATTACTCGCATACACATGCTCGAATGTGGAGGATCACTTTCGGATTCAAGCTTCCGAATGATTACAGACCCGTCTATGTGTGTCTGGCCAGAACTGCACCCACCAAAGTCAGGCTAGGCACCGTGACTAATACAGCTGGATATCAAGCGGGGAAGCGCAGAATACAGCTGCGGAATTGCACACACAAAGAGCAAAAGTCCTTGACTGATCGTCAAACATCGAGTTCACAGAACAAAAGTAAGAGAAGAATGTCCTTGGGTCGTTCTTCTCCCAGACGACGGAGGGTCTCAATGATCAGCTACAAACCTCGCCCAGCCGAGTGAGACATATTTTCAGCCTGTGATCCTGGTGGCAACTGCGCAGCAGCTGACAATAGGGGCTTGATTCGGGACCAGTCCAAGGCGTCAACCCTATAAAGTAGATTCTTTAGGCGTCCAGATGTTTGTCTTCCTGCTCTAAAAGTGTGCAAGTCCCAATGCTATATATACAATGCTCGGTCTGTTTCTTCCGGTAAGACAGCCAGCCAATCATGGAAGGATTTTCGCCAGACTAATTTCCAAGTCAGCCACAAGCCTGGCTACCTAGTAATGCATGGTACCACAATGTGGAACTGCCCACCGATCGTTGGGGCCGCTTCAGGACTCGCGAAGCACTCGGCCAGCTGCTGGGCGATATTTCCGAACCTGCCGCGGCACAGCTGATGTCTGCTACGGCTCAGCGTCGGCAGCGCATGTGCTGGCATTCCCGCTGGCTGTTCTGGATGAGATGCGCTCCGTCTACTCCCAGGCTCTGCAGCGCGTTTTCCAGGTGGCCATTGCGTTTGCGGACGTTGGTTGTCTCGTCCATGTGGTAGGATGGGATTATGCTGCGACAAAAGCTGGAGATGGAGTACGATCTCAAAACACAAGAACGGCCGACACAATCGGGCGAAATTCACGACGACGACTGAGAAATGGATGACCTCTGGCGAGTCGGTGGAAACGTGATCATGGATTGGTTACATGCAGATGCGAGAGAAGGCAGACATAGAGTGCAGTATCGGTCTCGGCTTAATTCCTCGGAGATAAGTATATTCATAGCAGCTTTAGAAATTGGACAACTAAAAACCAATGTGCGGCGGACATGAGTCTTTAAAACGACTTAAACCTTGAGCCGTCTGCGCTTTATCCAGAAATAATCTCTCAAAGAAGCCCTCGGGGCGCTGTGGGCGGATGACGCGCTGGCCATGGCCTGGGACCCCACGGCATCGGCTGCGATGCCCCGGCCGGTGCTGATGTGCGGCGAGAGCACGGCGACGCAGCTTCTGCGGCTCTCGGGGCTGCGGCCGGCCATCACATGCAGCCCGCGCAACTTCGACCTGGTACAGGCACGATTTGTCTGTAACAGAAGTCACCTGTGATATATATCCAAATTGACTCGGAAATTGCAATGTGCGGCAAACTCCCGCTCAAGCTTTCAACAGGATTGCGTCCCGTGGCTTTGTGTGCTCCAAATGGCCAGCGGGGAAGAGGATTAATGTTTACCTTGGCATTTCGAGACCGGCACCCCATTACCTAACAACGATGACTTCAAATCCGATGCGCCGTTCTCGTAACAAACAATCGAGTTTCAACACAATCAAGAGCCGGGCGAGCCTAGCTCTTACAATCCCATTTGCCCCCTATTTTGAAATCTTTGACTGGCTCCTTCCACCCTTTATAGTCCAGCATGCCATCCAGCCATTTCCGGAATATTAGAGCCGCGCCAGTTTTATGCCAGACTCCCCTTTTCACAAGCCGGCCGAAAAGTCCTATGTAATACTCCGATTTCTGTCCATCTATGTTTTGAATCAACAGCATTTCCGAAGTTCCTACCCTGTCAAAGTTAGATTGGTGGACATAAGTCTTTGTTTTGACTTTGGCGCCGCCCTCCCAAGTTATTTCCAAGTCATAATTCTCCAACTTGGACTCGTACATGAGAGGCTCGTCTGACAGCCGTTTGACACGCACATGGACACCTTTCACCCATAGGCCGTTACACGAACACGAACAGACCCTGCCATCTGCCAGCCGCGACTCCATCGAGGCGAATTCGTCGGGTTGGAGCGTGTAGCCTGGCATCCAACACAGCCCGTTCTTGTCATTGATCATGCTAGCATTGAGGAAGTCGGAAATATCCATCCCATTCTTGGCCAACTCCAAAAGGATATCCTCGGATGGGGCATTGTAGGAAGCACTCGAGATCCGTGCCCTTTGAACCAGCCCCAATACACCGTAGATCTTATCGTATTCTTTTTGGCAGTGTCGTTCTCCCATAACCTTCCACGCCTGTGTCAGCGTGTCAAAAGGTGCTGAGCGACCAGCAGCTCTGATGTCCTTGTATGCGAAATGGTCAAGGATTAATACCCCTTGGATCTCTAGCCTGTTTTTCTGGCGGTCCAGATTGGTAGAATATTGTTCCAAGTTGACCAGGTATAATGGGGCCTCATCGAGGTGTTCCCGGGCGATCGCCAACCGCATTGCATCCAGTAGGGTAGCGCTAACTAGCTGATTGCTTCCGGTCAAGACTCCAACGGGTGCGCCTGATGCAGCCTCCTGGAACGTCCAGACGCGAGTCACCCACTTGCTGCGAGCAAAATGCCGCGTCGGTTCTTTGTTCTGTTGCGCCAACTCCACCGCTTCAAACGGCTCCGAGCCGTTCTTCGGACCGCCGTACACCGTTTCGGTGATTTCAGGAATCAAAGCTACAACGAGGTTTGCCTGCCCGTAGTACTCGCCCATGCGCGGAACCTCTTTGGCCTTTTCCTCCTCGTTGGACTGGTCGATACACCACCGATCAATCCAAAAGTAGCGCACTCTAGTCTCCCTGGCGATGGTCTTGCAGGCATTGCGCAAATCATCGTCACTGATTTGTGTCCAAACGTACGACAGGCAACAGTACTTCACGAATCGGCCGGCCGAGGAGATGGTGCGCTTGTGCTCGCAGTCCCAGAGTTTCATGGGTGCCATACTGATTGTGTCGCGAACGTCTGGTCTTATGGCTTTATGACTCGATCTCTTTTTGCGTGGGTTACGGTTCAGAAACATTTCTGCCGTGGTGTTCCATGGCTTGATCTGATCCATTTCCAGTTTGACAGGCTCGATCGAGGACACCCTGGTCTCTCTGTCTTTGTTGGGATCTGGATGAAACGCAGGCATCCCAGAGCGTGGACGTAGGTTATCAGGCAGGAGCCCGATCTTAAACACATGTCGCACAAAATAAGGAGAAGGGGGCTCCCAAGCGGACGAGCTTGAGAACTCAGGCGGGGACATGAACGTGGGCAGTCCACGTTCAATGGGCCGATGGTATCGCGGATCTAGACGAGGTCTCGTAGACTGATGACGACCCCAGGGAGGTACGCTGGGCTCCCAGGGCGGGAACATGTACCGTTCAGCGTGTCGTCGTCGCGGGGTCATCACGTTATAATCGCCATTACATTCTGGACACGGACAGACGGGGTAGGCAGAATATCCCGCCATCGTTTTCACACTTGGATGTTCTTGTTTGGTCAGCGGTCTCAAATGAGATCTCTATCAACACGTAATCATCGAAAACATAGTTCGCAGTGATTTAAGGCTCTATTGTTTGAAGATTGAAAGTCTCTTCAGATGTAGTCAGAATGATCAGTTGAGAGGCAGAGCTGTATCAGGTATCTGAGTGCATCGTTAAATGGGAATCTCTTTGGCCGCCTTGTACTAAAGTCACTTGCATATTCGATAGTTCGGATTATCCGCGATTGCCCCAATATTAATTGTAATAGGCCACGACTGTATCTTTCCTGGTGTTCGAAATACCACTGTAAAGCTATAACGGCAATAAACTGCGAAGGTCATAGCATGTCCCCCAAGTATTACTGGCCTCTTTGGTTTCACAAAAATTCAGCCAATGTTATATTTCATTTCACAACACGACAAAGTATGCGCCCCGTTACTTAGGTCTTCAATGCATGGGACTTCCAGACCCCCCCACATGGAATTGGAGTTTCTGATCAGGGTAAATTTACACAGGCCTGTCTGCAGATCTTGCCTTTCCTACCTCATCACGAGCCATTCATGCAGGCAATTATGCATGCTCTAGACCCCGCCCCCACCAATTTCCTGTTTCCGAAGCAGCTTGTAGAGCGTTACCGTATTTTCCGCCCTGGGCATTGACGTCGGCCTTGTTGTCGAGCAGGATCTGCACGATCTCCCGGTGTCCTCCAGATAAAGCAGCCTGGAGAGCGTTGCCGAATTCTCCGCCCGGGCATTGATGTCGGCCCCTTTATCGAGCAGCAGCCTTACGATTTTTTGATCGTTTTGGCAGGACATACGCCTTTATGTATCCCTGCACAGCAGAAGGCGATGGTCAATCATCGCGTTGATGATCCGAAATTGATAAAAATGTCTTCAGACCGTACCTAGCTGAATGCGACAGTATTTCCCATAGGTGAAGCATTCAATACTTGAACACAGTTCGCCCTAGGCACGTTAGGTAATAGCTGTGACGGCCCGGCCATACACGGTTATCATGGTGTGCTGATTGCATACGAAAACGGCACTATTGTGCTCGAGCGCTAGAGATAGCTCTATTGGCAAGCGCTGGTGTATAGAACGCGCGCGAGAACGGCGCTTCACTGCTCTTCTTTCTCTCTCTTTAATTTTTGAGCCTTCGTCAATTCTGGTTGTGTCTATGCCCTGACACTGGCCATCGGATGGGTGTGCTATAGCACCTAGCGAGGGGTATGCAGTAGTTCTGCCCTGATCAGACTGTTACCATCTGGTGTTTGTTATAATACTGCACTATCCGACACTTATAATACAGAATTAGACAAAATAACCACAATAGGTCATGCCCGAAGCTTTTGCTTTATGGCGCAATGGTCGGTCCACACGCATTATAGTATATAATTTAATTGAAAGATTTCGGATAAATTTCTACCATTCCTCAATTTTATATAAGTTAATGTGTGAGGGGGAAGACTAGACAAGGACATAAGAATGAAACTTCAATTAATTTCAAAGAGCTATACAAGAAAGGTGCTGAAGAGCAGCTTGATATACCCGAGCAGGTGATCTCCGGTGGGTACTACCTAGGTTAACTCGATACTGAATGGTGCAATTGTTCTCAAAGATTCCCTTTGCCCGGACGTCGGAGGAGCCTTGGCCACAAGAATAGCTCACATTCCTAGGACGGGGTATGCTGGACCCTGCCCGCATTGTTGACACCGCGGATCATTGCATGGCATCCCTTGGGTCGGAGGGGTACCGATGGACGGAGGAGCTCGACCTTGCCCGCATTGTCGACACCGCGGATCATTGCATGGCCCGCATTGTCGACACCACGGATCATTGCATGGCATCCCTTGGGTCGGAGGGGTACCGATGGACGGAGGAGCTCTATAATATAAATAGTACGGGTCAATGAGGCGCCATTGGTAATTTTGATCCATGCGTGACCCATGAACCATTTGTTCTTGCTGCGCTTGTAGCTGCACAACCGCAGCGCAATGTGCCAGTGCCTGCTCCTGCATCTGCTTATTCATTTCATCATTTTCGACTTTCATTTTCTCCTGTTGCCGCCGGATTTCATCGATCTCGCGCTGTTTATCCTCGCGCTCTTGTTGAATTTGCATCATGGCGTCTTCATCCCACTCTTTACGGGAAGTTTCGAATTCGCGCCTCAGCTCTTCCAGTTGAAGACTGAATTTCTCGCGCTCTTTCTCGAGTTCCTCATTCAAGGTCATACCTGCCGTCGTCTCGTTGAGCTTCTTGGCACCATTTGCCATCTCCTTCTGGATGGCGAGGGCTTCATCCCCTGATGAAAGCAACGATTCGACCACTTCCATTGCGGATTCTTTGGTATTGAAGCATCTTTCAACACGCGACCCATGATTTTGGATCATATCGCCCCAGTACTCCGGCGTCTTTACCAGCTGGCGCTCCCGATCATGGCCTTCGGCCGGTTCAACTTTCTCCCACATGGTTGTGGTAAGTATTATGTTCTTCAATGCATCCTTGCCACATATTTTCTTCATCAAACGAAGGTTCTTTCTAGCAGTGCCAGTCATGCGGTTATCGGATATCTTGTGTAGATATAATATGCCGCGGAGCAATATGTCCTGCTCGTACCGCTTATTCAACCACGATGCAATAAGCTTAAGGACATCAGCGTCGTCGAGATTGGTATCATCGAATCCGGGGGTATCGACCAGGTAGATCTTTTGTCCCGATTGGGTCGCAACTGGATATGATGCCACTGCACTGGTATCTGTGTTGTTAAACAGCAGCGCTGACGTTAGTCAACGTCCAGAGTCTGTCTTATTCATAAAAATGTGATAGATTTATTATTGAGGACTTACGGCTTTGCAAATCTGAGCCAATAGGGACATACTCGTCAGTACAATGACTGATTAGAGTGCTCTTTCCTGCCCCAGTAGCGCCCATAACGGCGATCAATATGTCGTTAGGGTCAGGCTTATCGTCCATGTTATTGCGGCTGGCCATAGTGTCTGAGTGACAAAGGTAATGTCGGCGGACAAATTTTGGTGTTACGAAGAAGAGAATAATAGAGTTTCTTTGACACTAATTATTACACATTCTTCGATATGCGTAATAAGTGTCGATAGGTTGGATAAGTCCAAAATAACTAAAGGCCGACCTTTAATATTTAAGTTCAAATAAAAGAAAGGAAGAGAACATTAAAGATTCTTTAATAATACGCAGGCCCGGCCGCTCTCTTTCACTTCCCCTCACGCCGTTTATAAATATAAATGCTACGTAGGGGTATATAATAAAGCTATAAACGTTTGATATGGGTGTACTAATCTGCTTATTGATTGGTGAGCATTAAAGCGGGATGAACACTACTCATCGACTCGGTCAAATATTTGCTTGGCGAAAGAACAAATCCAGACATCACAACCGAGGATCCTTATCACGGTGTAACAGCTCGTAAATGCATCAATCTCATGCGTCCTTCAGATGATCAACCGTTGAAAAACATCAAGTGCTAGGACAACCGTAACCAGATTCCAGAAAGATGGTAGGCTGGAACCATACCTGGTTCGTGGACCTTCCAGCTCGGCGCACCTTTATCCCCTGCACGTGCAGGTCTCAGCATGCAAATACAGCATCGCCACCAAGGCGTACAACCTGACGAGGCTCTGGAATGCCTTGGACATTGTACTCTCCTTACTTTTCGCAACCATAGGAACTCGTCAATACTTTGATGCGATCTTTGACCGGAGCATAAGTCTGAACACTGCTAGCCATGTTTGACCTAACGATATACACAGTCGCATGGATTTATGCCATTGGGACAGAGCTTGTTGCCGCCAAGCAATTTCATGACGAAACGCACGACGATACAGACTAACTTCCCGCCACCGACGATAATGCCTACGTGCTTGGAAAGTCGGCAAACATAACATTCTTGTTAAATGTGGGGGACTGTATCGGTCTGGTTAAGAGGAATTCAGTGATGTATTGATGCATCTTCTGTCCTGACTAGTTTGTACACTTTGCGTGCTTATTTTGGTGGCATCAAGCATACTTTGGGGGTTCCCGTTTATTTACGCCAACACTGTGGGGTTCCATGGTGTGCTACATACAGCATCTCTGCAGCACACCACATCTGACAATAATGTGTGTAAACAGTGCAAAATCCCGGCTTTGCATACGAGTCTTTTAGCACGCTAGCGCAACGGTAGAATGTCGAATGTTCACCGAGGTTCCCCCGTGACACGATTTATGTTTATTTCCACGGACATTGCTGTCCCGAAAGCGAGTCAGAGACACCCTCGTGTTTTAGATATGGCAAATGGTGCTTTGGATGCATTTATCTTCTGTTGTCACACTGACATAGGTGCACGTCCCGCAAATCATTTATTGCAAATCATCTACTTGGGTATCTTAGATAGCTATCCAGCATATCATCTTTTTTCCCAAGCTCTATAGGATACACTCAGACATCTTTGCAAGGTCTTCGTTCCTTTTCGCATCAGCTTAAGTTAGGAGCTAACTGTCAGATAATACCTGTTAAGTCCCCAGACCACGGTGACATGTCTCTTTTAGTTCCGTGGTATAATGGTATTATTCGACACTAACTATATTGCGCAGCTTACATTTCCACGCGTAATAGGGCGTCGTGTTGTTTCAACGCGCCCACATGTTCCAATCGAGGCTTAGGGTCCTGGTAACGCCGTGAAATAGTTTGAGGATACACAACTCAATCACGACCGGCAATATTGTAAGGGGCTGGTACGATGAATGTTCTAAAAAGCACGCAAAATGCTCATAAGCGGGAACACAACAGTTCCCGACCGAGTTTTAGACGTGGGAACTACTGATCAGCCTCGCCTGAGGCTGCTCGAAAATTGTAACGATCTACAGGGAGATTACATTGCGCTCAGCTACTGTTGGGGAACCCAGGGCCAAGTTTTTACGGTCCGAGACAACTTGGAGAAATTCAAGATTGAGATCATCGAATCAGGCTTGCCCACCACAGTCAGAGACGCTATCACGATTACGCGGGCCCTACAGATCCCGTTCCTCTGGATTGATGCACTTTGCATCATTCAACTGGACGAGACAGACTGGAAAATTCAGAGCGCAAAAATGCAGGAAGTGTATGGCCAGTCATATCTGACTCTCTGCGCGTCTAACGCTAGCAGTGTGCACGATGGCGTCTTTCATCCCCGTTGCAATACCACCCTGGAAGTCGACAGTATCTTCGAGGACTTGGCTCAACGGTCGGTGTACATCATTCTAGATGTGGGCAAACCTTCATCTCTTCAATATGTCACAGACCTCACGCCGCTTGGGGCCCGCGGACGGTGTCTCCAGGAGCGACTCTTACCGTGCAGAAAAGTCTACCTCCACCACCAGCAAATGGTGTGGGAGTGTTCTGAGCGTTTCTTCTTCGAAAGTGGCATCCGAACAGGAATTACGGCTACTATATCATTGGATATGCCGATCGTAAAGAGAGGTCTAAACAATGAGCTGAACCGTGTGAAGTGGGAACAACTTGTGCAGTCGAACACAGCCTGTCAACTGACCCACATGACTGATCGGCTTCCAGCAATCGCTGGAATTGCTAAACATTTCGCGACAAGCCTGGCAGCTCGGGCATATTCACTTGCAAGCGAAGAGGTGGCGGACACTGGTACAGCAGACGAAGCCGACGAAGCTGACGATGAGGACTATGGTTCATTTTTTGACATGGCCGAGAAGATCGAGAAAGAAACCATTGGCAGTACTGAATATGTTGCAGGTCATTGGAAGGGCACTTTAGTCCCAAGTCTTCTCTGGAGGGTACTTGGCTCTAAGCAACTAGTTCCTTCATCGGGATACGGAGCGCCCTCGTGGTCTTGGGCACCTGCGCCAGGTCAAGTCAAATCAGAGAGGAATGCAATGAACACGACAATCTGCAAATGTGGAACAATATGAAACACCATGTCGAGCCGAGAAAAGAAAACCCCTGGGGTTCTGTTCCGGATGCATGGGTCTCTTTCAATGCACCTCTTCTTGAAGTCAGGTACGATGGGACTGTCTCAGAACCTGCTTTATACATCAATATTTCTGGTGATGAGCACCGCCTCGCCCCTGGTCTGGATCACCCGGTACTTGACAGTGGCATATACATGGACCCGGGATCTGTCTCCACGAAACTGCTTGCTGTCATACTTTACACGAACCACAAACCACGATCTTATGAAATAAGACCAGTGGAGGGGTGGGATGGTCTCCTTGTTAGCTCGTCGGATGATTCCACGTACAAAAGAGCAGGTTCCTTTTGGCGATGCAAATTCCGATCGGGAGGCTTAAGTGCACAAGTACCAGAAGAGATTGATCTTGATACCTGGACTAGATCGATCAAACTTGTTTGAGTGATCCACGGGGCCCCCCGTGTCCGTATTGAGAGCTCGCGGCGTGGAAGGGATGAGTCAGCAAACTAGTGTGCATCGGACGGCTAAAGGGACTTTGTCCGAAGCCTACGCGGCTGCCATTGTACGCGAAAAGTTTCCAGCAGCCACTGAACCAAATAACTACAGTTGTTCCTCACTTGACGATGTGGTCAAGTTCATGCAGTTGGCCTGTTCTTCGGCGCCTACGAAGGATCTGCCGTTGAAAAAAGAGTCCCTTATTGAGTTACGCTTGTTCTGTGCACACAAAAAGCTATTCAGGGGTATTCATGGCTACGTGGGAATGGCGCCTCCGGCGGCACGTATAGGGGATCGTATTTTACCATTTTGGGATGCAATTACCCTTTGGTGCTCCGACATATAGGCGGAGGAAGGATGCAAGTGGTTGGTAGCTGTTTTGTATCTGGCGCGATGGACAACCAAGCTCTTTTAGGTCCGTTGCCCTCTGATGTTGAGGTGACCTATATGAAAGCCAAAGGCAGATGCCCCGGCTTTAGAAACCGCCTGACGAAAGAGATTACATATGATGATCCTCGATTGTCAAAGCTCCCATTGACAGACGAGGAGAAGGCGCATCTCCTAGGTTGGACAGGTGGTCATACACTTGGAATCTCCTTGGAAACGCTGCATAGATTCAATTCGGAAGTGAAGTGGGTAGAACTGGTTTAAAGTAAGAATGATGCGCCACAGCATGGCTGTGCTGTGTGGCATGCTTCGCGTGACACAACGGGAAGGGTTACCAAGTCTATTTGTTCACACATTACTTTCGTAGATGTACGATATAGACCATCTTTGACTTTACTCTTTACTTTGGACACTTCTTATGATATATATAATATCAATTGATTGATCCAGTTGTCACATACGACCACAGATAGTTGAAAACATGGCATCCCGTTCGCTCTGCCCTAATTAAGCAACTAATCGCCGAATCAGTACTCAGGTGGGTGACCACTGGGGAATCCTCGGTGTTGTATGTTTTTTTGTTTATTCCACGGTCTTTTTGTCGTTGCGATTAGAAGAGTCAACATAGCATGAGTTGGGAGGGAGACGAGTTCGTCAAAGTTGATATAATATTACCCTGCACTACTAACCTTGAATACACTATGTCCCTGGGTAGTGTCTAAATTGTCGCATGCATGCCTCGCTTATTATCAGCTTGAAATGCCCAGTCTCCCAATGGAGAATTTCCTTCACGTCAAACTTATCAGGCTCTTGGGATTCCTCCTCATTGTCCTTTGAGCGATTTGGACATTTGAGAAATATCGGCTGACCAGCGGTGGAGCTTGTCAAGGCGGCGCCTCTTTGTTTAAGCTGTCGGGGGTGTTGAGTGACAGTCGACAGATTCAATTGCGAGAAAATCAGGCTGCATTAAGAGAGCCGCACGAAAACATGCCCTGAGCGGGCGCGGATCACTTACCGTCGCATGGTCCCATCAAGTTCACGCATTGCTGCAAATTTGCCTTGCCCGTGCCAACGGTGTGTGGTACCAACTTACGATTGGTGAGGGGAGGTTTTCATCCAGATAGGTAGGGCCATGATACGCAAATCAGAGCTGCGAGGCTCTTGGATATTGGACGCGTATTCGCTGATTGGTGGGATCACGCTTCGCGAATACCCTATCAACACTAATTGAGAGTCTTTTGCACTTTTCATCCCACCATTTGGGCTTGGCGGGCTGAATGTTCCCTGCAAAATCTATGGGCGTCATGAGTCTCCAACGCTGGACGTACTCGATAGATCGCTTCTTTTTTTTTTTTTTTTGAAATGATACTACATACCTAGTCTTTACGTCCATGATGTAGCGCTAGGCGATAACATGTCATAGGAAGAGAGCTCCCTAACATCCTCAAGTTGAAATGGAAACATATCGATCGCACTGCGTCGAATATTTATATGAAGTGAATCTCTGATTGAATTCATAGTCTACGGCTACGGCGGCTATCGAATGTAGAAGCAACGTCGAATTCGTGGGGCTGGACCGTGGCTGTTCTACTGGTTATAAGCCACTGCCTTCAAATACTGCCTTGCCACCTTGAACCGCACTCCATCTCCAATTATGCAGTGTAACAATATCATGACTAGTAGTTAATACTGGAAAGGCTGGCAGTTCGCGTATGATTAGCCGTCACAAGGCATTTTTTGGAAGATATGTCAGCAACAACCTTGTTTTGCTGCTGAAATCACTAGACAAGATCCCCGGTCAATATTCATGTTACGACAACAAGCCGGAGGGTGTTTTGTAAGGCTGTAAAAGATGAAAACCTCTACCTGCCCCTCAAATGATTCTTCCTCAGCACAACAAATGCGGAACCGTCCATAGACTTTCGCCCTGAACATGGAGTATTTCTCCAGCACGTCTACGGCTGACAGTCGTCGCACGAGGAGGCCATCTGTCCGAAGTCACTCAAGGAGTCGGGGTACAATGCAAGCCCGTCACTCAGAGGGTTTCACTGCACCGAATGATGAGGATGAGGACACTGATGCTTTTGAGGATGCTCAAGAGTCTTGGTTTTCAGACACCGCTTCACAAATACTAGGGCTAAGCCGTCAAATTTCACTTGACCCTTCCATAGCTTCAACTTCATCGCCGCCACCATCCGTCCCCAGTCGATCCTCCAGCAAGGACTACAACAATCAGGTACCTTCTACTGAAAGCACATCTTTCGTCGCCAACAGGACTGTCAGGAGTTCCTCTCGCGTTGTTGAACCGCCCAGACCCGACCACGCAGAGGCCGCCGCTGATACTCAATATCCACAGAAGTGTGAGGTTTGCGAGAAGCATCGGAAAGTAGTTCTCTACTGTAATGTATGCAAAAGCTCTTTCTGTGAAGCCTGCTGGGACGCGCAATTTGTCCACAAGAGGACGCGAGGCGGTGTATTACACGAAAGGACGGATCCTGCTATAGCCCAAAAGGTTCATAATGTTCTCTCCCCGCCCACGGATGGATTGGAGAGGGAACGACTTTACAAAGCGGACGAAGCAACTGCATGGTTTGGTAAGACGTCACGATAAGAAATTGGAGCCCATAGGCTGATTATAGCACAGGCATCGAGCGCCCTGAGGACAACTCCCCTCCGGTTTTCCAGGACTATGGCCGCTTCTCAGATCTCATGGGGATTACAGATCCCCTGAAGAGGCATCCAAGCTTCTTGGAGCAATGGACGCAAGTTGAGCGAGATCGCAGAACGCCGAGTCTTGTCTCATTCGTTGGACAGACCGGAGCAGGGAAAAGTACACTGGTCAAACTCTTGGTAGACTTCTCTGTAAATGGCACAGAGTGGTATTCAACGCCTGTGGTGGGACCTCGTGGTGCACATCTCCCATCTTCGGAGGATGTTCACTTGTATCTGGATCCGCGAACGGCCGACTCCTCCTGTCCACTATTATATGCTGACTGCGAGGGTCTGGAAGGGGGCGAACGTGAACCGCTCGGGGCCAAGTTCAAAAAGAAACGTCGCATAGACAATTCCAAGCTGCCAGACGACGAAACCCAGCGGCACGTGGATGCTAGCGGAGTCGTTTCTGAGAGGGAATTAGAGTGGGCAAGTGGTCCGCGCTCTAGCACAAGAGAGTTTGCCGTTGCGAATCTTTACCCCCGGCTACTGTACACATTTTCGGATGTGATTGTGTTCGTGCTACGAAACCCAAGGTCAGTTCGCCAAGAATCTTGTAGAATCTTGTATTTGTATCTAATATGTACTAGGACGATTGAGCAAGTCTTCGTGCAACTTGTGAAGTGGGCGGCATCGGCTATTGAGACGTCCTCAAATCAGCCAGTCCTACCCCACGCAATTATCGCACTCAATGCATCAGAGTACGATATACACCCCGGTTTCTGGGATGTGAAGTACAATACTGAGACTATCTTGGAGGACCTGGCAAATACGGTGAACCGTAATGACACGTTCAAGAAATGGTCTCAGTTCTGGAGGGAAAGAGGCAAAACTATCAATAACCTTGAAGAGCTCCTGCTCTGTTACTACAGCTCTGTCCAGGTAAGCACAGTATTCATAAGCCTCTATACCATCTACTAAACAATTCTTTCTATAGATAATTCGATTGCCAACTGAAGGTCGCCCAAAGCTCATGGCCGAGCAAGTTGAGAACCTGTATAAAGGAACGTTTTCAGCTTGCGTAGCATCACGAACAGCTCGACACAATGTGAGAATGCTGCTAGATGTAGACGACTTGCAGGCATACCTGCAAGACGCTTTCAACCATTATTGCAGCACTTTAGAGTCACCATTCGATTTCGTTCAGGCATCCTTCCGACACTCACCAATCCCCCAGGATTTCGGTGGAAACATACTGAAGCTGGCTTTGGGTATGGTGGAGCTATGGGAAAATCAGCCGCAAATGACGGCTAGGCGCATCTTTTCTGAGCTCAGCTACATGGTCGCCTCTTGCATCATGCTAGACTCGGCCCGTAGTAAGAACAAAGGTATGTTGCGTAGTCACTTCTAAAATCGTATCACCCTGCGCCTAACTTTGATACATCATGCAGGCAATGCCTCACAGATCATTCGAAAGTATAAAAATCATCTTGATGATGCAATGCAAAACTTTTGCAATCAGCACTGGCGTTGCGAATTTGTCGATCAAAGAACTGGGGTCCGATGCGTTAATGTGCGGTCGGGACACAGCGCAAAGGGCCACCAGTCCACGGATGGGAAAGTCTTTGCCACTGGAGAATACGTCTCTTCGTGGAGTTGGGAAGAGAACGAAAATGAGTTTCCTAACAAGGTCTACCATTGTTTTGTGGAACTACTCAAAAAGCTCACTGACAGAGAGCCCGGCATCGAAGGAGAGGAGCAGGTAAGTATCCTGTCCTCATCATTCAGTTGACGAGAAAGTTGGGAAATTCTTTTCACCAAACCGCTGTAAAGTCACAAAAGCAAGACAGGGATTTGCTAACATTTACTCTTCCAAAGGCTGCGGCGGGGATTCACAAGAATTCTGTGCTGAAACATTTCTTTCGTCGTGCAACAAGTAACGGCCAGTTGCTGAATCACAACACTGCATTAACCAGTCACACAGCTTGTTTCTGTTGTCTTTTCGGTCAAGCAGACCACTTCCTCCCCTGCGGACATGTGCTGTGTACAGAATGTATAAACACTTATGGCAAGGCAAACGGTGCTACAGAGGTTGAGATCCTCGGATGCCCAATTGAAGGCGATGATCGCCCATATATCCAACCATGGATAGTCCATCTCAAGCCAAAGTCAGCCGGCGTGCGCATTTTAACACTGGATGGGTAAGTGCGACACTTCTTTCTATCCGAATCGATAACTGACACACGCAGTGGTGGCATCCGCGGTATTGTCGAATTGGAGGTGCTTCACCACATACAGAAAGCCGTGGGTGATATCCCCATACAGTGCTTCTTCGACCTTATCGTGGGAACAAGGCAGGTCTCTACGCTTCAAATTTGAGATGAGATAGTGTCTTACAAATTCACAGTACGGGCGGCCTGGTCGCCTTGGGCCTCGGCACAAGGAATTGGACCATCCAAGAATGCATCGACGAGTTTCTGAGGCTGTGCCACGGGGCTTTCACTCAACGTAGCGGGACGGAAATTCCATTGATCGGAGCGTTTGTCGAAAACTATCATCATTCCAAGTATCAGACATCAACGCTGGAAGATGTGCTCACTCGCGCATTTTCGAGCGACCTGAATCTTTTTGGAGGTGTCCGGCCCGCTTCTTCATCAACTCCAGCGAAGGTCGCTGTGACGACAACATCCATATCTGCAAACAACACGTACTTGCTCACAAACTACAATCATCCTCGTGCCAGTCCAAAGCAGAGTATGTAGCAACATTTTTCCGTATTGTGACTGCCATCGACTCGAGACAGCTGACACTGAAACCAGAACACTACCATTTCCAACGTCCCGAGACTTCCTCATCCGAACTCAAAGTTTGGGAAGCGTGAGTTTCTCCAAGCTACACCTCAAAAGATTTATAGGCTAATCTTTTCAAAGTGCTCGCGCAACTACGGCGGCACCTCGCTATTTCAAGTCTTTCCATCATGCCCCTTCACGAAAAACATATATTGATGGCGCGGTGTTTCACAATAACCCAGTTCGGCTAGCTGACTCGGAAAGGAAGATTCTCTGGCCTGACCACAGTTTTCCGGACATACTCTTGTCCCTTGGAACAGGATACTCTGTCGGAGTCACGAGAGCCGAGTCAGAACATCTGGCAGCTGCTCGAAGAGGGATATTCAACCATGGCCGAACGCTGTACAAGATTCTTCGAAGTAACATGGAACAGACGCTGGATTGCGAGCGAACATGGGAAGACTATTTTTCCACGGTGGCGAACTCTTTACCGAGACACATGTCTACTTCCAGGTTCATCAGGATCAACCCAGAGATTGGCCAGGTACCAGCCTTGGACGAGAAGGATAAGATGAACGACTTGCGTAGAAGAACCCATGACGCTATTTACAGAGACCCTCGGATTGAAGAAATTGGTCGACACCTCATTGCCACGTGCTTTTATTTCGAGCTTCTGGATGCTTCAGAGAGTGGCCAAATTGTCATTTCGGGTAAGTTGATCACTCACCTACCGGCTTGGACTGCAATGTGTGAAGGTTGTTAATGGAGGGAAACAGGCAAGCTTCAGTGCCGATTGGCCCAAGGGTCCCAAGAGATGCTTCAACTAGGCAAGCAACTCAGAAAGCGTTGCTTGGGTAACGAAGTCGTCAGTTTCGTGGCCTATATGGAAGGAGACGTGCAGCCTATACACACAATCCTCCTCACAGACCATGAGCTAGAAACAATGATCTCTAGGAAGAGATTCGACCTTGGGAGGAGAGTATTTTCCATCAAAAGCAAGGTCTTGCCTGTGCACTTCGACATGTACTTCGGTGGTGTCTCGAAGCACCCAATCAGTGGATTCCCCCGGAGCTTTTTTGATGGTGACACCAGTACGAGCTCTAATGGAGCTTCGCACAAAATGATCACCAGCTCAATGTCGACACGCTACACTCATGGCTCCAGAAGAGCTAAATCAGGAGGTGCATGGCAACCTCCGGATCTAGCAGAGAAAGGCAGTTTGTCCAATCTCAAGCAATACGCCAATCCAACACGTATTTTAGGCGACGACGGGCTAGATGAAGGGTTCTTGCCTCATTTCAATCGATCTTCAGTAAACCCGCACAAACCAGCAAATACCACAACGCCTCAAACCAGGAAAGGTGGTATTCGAGATGCATTCAAAGCCCTACTAATTCCACTGAACACGCGCAAGGTAGGCTCAGAACAACAAACTCCTCTGTCGCCTATCAAATCACCTGTATATGAGCTACCAGGGGCTGGGTCCTCAGCAGGCCTGGAGGACAAGACCGCGCTTGACGAGCAGCTGTCAATGGCTCATAGCTATTACAATGTTCCGCCAGAAGACTACGCAGTGTATCGTCAATGGGTCAACCTCCTCCAGCCAAATGATGCCAAGCTCACAAAGCCTTGGGCTCCTTCTATCGGGCAAGGTTCTTCAGGGCATTCTCAGTCAAATACATCGGGTACGATTTTCGAAATGGCAGGAGATACAATGTTTCCGGTAGAGATGGACTCAAGGGGAGAAGAGCCAGAGACGGCAAATGACGTCGCATTGACGACGAATGTACCGGGCACCAACTCTGATTCATCCCTAAACAATCCGGGTTTTTTCTGAGTAAATCACATCCTTTGTTCTTTTTTTTTCTTTTCTCTCTAATTTTACATATGTATTCACGACAGCAGCACAGGTGGCTCAAATATCACTGCTTCCGGCTATTCTCGGCACCACCGATACCAAGACCGACACGGGCATTTATCCAGCAATCGCCAGTAACCTACCAGGGTCCGACTTTGTTTTCAAAGATCCACTGCCACCCGGATTCTGCAGGCGTTACTGGCGGCAACGTCTGTGCTCACTTTGCTGAGCTGGTCGCTCGGCGCTGAGAAGCCCATGCTGCCGCAACCTCCGACGAGCATTGCTAGCGTCCTTGCGCTATTAGTAGGAGGCAATGTGCTGGAGCATATATACAGGGACGATATGGGTGACTGCCAGACTTTGGAGGAGGCGAAATCGCTTTTTTCTGATGACTTGAGGTTTCGACTGGGTTGGGGGGCTAGGCGAGAACGATGAGCCTGGTGCTTCAGGGCGTTTTGGGATCTGGACTGTTCAACGCACGCCAGTCGATACAGACTCGTATGATACTTCTCTGGACGATGAAATTGTTTGATTTGAAATGGGCTGAAAGGGGAACTGGGCACATGGAGGCACAATAATGATTATTAGTATTAAGGTCCATCCGCTTATTCTTAGCCCCGAATCAGTACTCAGGTGGATGACTACTGGGGAATCCTCGGTGTTATATGTTTTTTGCCTTTTTTTGTTTCTCGACTTATTAACCAGTCGTAATTCAGACCGGATAACGGCTTTAAATTTTAGTGATTTTACTTTATGGAAGGTGGGTGTTGCGATAGGTATTAGGTAGTTAGCAAAATGCTTAATGGAAGGGGATATGCGTGGATTTATTTAAAACGATCTCGTTCCTCCACACGAATATACACCGCCTAGTCACTTAAAATATCATTTAATTAATACTCCCAAATCTCTTTGGATTAAATTAATTTATTTATAAAATAAAAAATCAACTCGACCTTGGCTATTTACCAGCTTTAATCTGCGTATTCCAGATTATTGGCTTTTACGACGACCGATCCAGTGCTGGTATGCCAGCCATTTGTATTATCAGCTTGAAATGCCAATTAAAAGATAAAAATCAAAAAGACCAAAAACATACAACACCGAGGATTCCCCAGTGGTCACCCACCTGAGTACTGATTCGGCGATTAGTTGCTTAATTAGGGCAGAGCGAACGGGATGCCATGCTTTCAACTATCCGTGGTCGTATGTGACAATCAGACCAGTAAGCTGATATTATATTCTACATGAGAAATGCCCAAAATAAAGAGTAAATTTCAAGATGGTCTTCATTATACATCTACGAAAATAATTGTGAACAAACAGACTTGGTGACCCGGCAAGGCAACGCGGGTTGCTGGTAAGGCTTGCGTTGGGGGACGAGGGTTGCCCATTTGCTTGCCGCACTTGAAGAAGAAGAAAAAAAAGACCATTCCACCAATGTACCCACTACCCGTCCGACCATGTGTCCTAAGCTATGGCTTTTTAGAGCCAGAGCAGCGACGAGGCGTTGGTGAAAGCCGGGCAGCCCGTCTCCCCGAAATGAATATCGAAATGGGTCGATTTCTCATTGCATCCGGTGACATTGAAGATGCGCGCTATATTGATACTCCCAAGTCAGCTTCCTGCAGTCGCAGTGTTTACATCGAAACAAGTGTGTGTACAATGTCTTACCGTCGGACTGCGCCGTGTTGGACAGGACGCTGAAGAATTTGGCGCTGGCCGGCTCGTGCAGGTTGAAACAGCCTCCATCCGCGGGCTTGGAGACGGTGTCGGTCGCGAGAGGGGTGCCACTGCAAGAACTGTCGGGGAACCAACCGATGCTGATGACGCCAGCCGTGACCTGACGGGACTCGGAGCCGGGCATGGCTTGGACGCCGGCCAGAGCGAGGAGAGTGACGACGCTGGTGGTGAGCTGCATGATGATATGTGTGTTTTAGTTCAAGGTTCTGGAAATGGAAGATATCTGTGTTTATGATCTGGATCGCTGATGATGTGAAAACGTTTTGGTAGAAAACAGAGCAAAAACGCTGGCATATTTATACTTCTCAAGAGAGGTGATCTTCACATCAAATGCGCATTTCGGCCAAGCCACCATCACCAGACCGTATACATGCTGAGAGGCTTTTATTACTGTCAGACGATCCAAAGTTGGAAGTCTGGATCAATGGCATCACTGGTGATCAAAGTTGCTCAAAAAGGTTATAAGAATGAAAGCCCAAGCGCTGCCGATGATGAACCCCAGTCTGCACAGAAGATGGAAACTACAATGCCCATGGCAGTGATATCAAGTCCACATGAGATGTATCGCAATGGGCGCTCTTTTATTCCGAATTCATCTAGTTTGGGCTTCTATTGCCCGGTTCAACGCACCTTGAAAAAATTCTGGAGATATGATGGAATTTCGGTCTGGGAAACCTGGTTCAAGGGCTTTCGTGTTGAAAAGAACAATCGTCAAGGACTCATCGCCGAGTGCCATGTAATACTCTGACGGTACTGACCAGTGTGTCTGTTCGTTTGCCACTTTCTTCGATCATGGATAAGTATGCAATCGAGAGGCGGTTGCTACCTAGGCACAAATTGCATAAATGCTGCGCTTGACTGCTTTTGTTCCTGGGAAGCAAATGAACCAAGTAAAATTGATCAAAACTTTTACTCAACGCGATCTGGCGGAGGTAACTCTAATTACATGCTGGAGGAAATCCAAAAGGGAAAAACACAAATGAGTGGGCATCAGGAGATTCCCCTACTCACCCAAGGGCTCGAGATTCTGCACCCTAACATCTGGCCATGCAGGCGGGACGTCTGAACCTTCAGGCCGCTCGACCACGAAACCAAGCATCCTGTGTCAGGTACCCGGTGACTGGTCATTTGTTGAAAAATCGGTGCACTATTGGACTTGTCACTTGATATGCCTTTGAGCTCTGGTTGGGTGGGGGACGTGGGTGTTTGGGAGCCGGGCGGGCAAACGCAGACCTTCGGTAGTAGCTACATACATATCTTTTCAGAGTGCATTTCTATTCTGTGGCGTCTTGGCGAGTACGTCCCATTGTGTCGTCTTCGCCGTTGTGAGTGGTAATATTCTACTTCCACGACGTCAATTCACACTCGGTAAGTCGCATATTCCTGACTTCGAACAACAGCACGATGACGCACAAACCCAGCAGCTTTTATCGCCTGAAACGGATAGTCTCTTGATGCCCTTATTCTTTGGAAGTCTCAAGACGATATTTCAGCCTCCTTACCAGTGATACCCTTTCCTCGGGTCGTACTAAAGTCTGACAATAGCCAGCTTTGCGCACTCGTTGACTTTGCATAGGGCTGAGTCTTGATCAAGTCCGACGAATCACGACACAGAACCAAATAGACGCAAACCATGGTTGTCTCAGACCATGTGATGTCGTACAAAACGCCATTTGCCTCATTTGAGCTAGAAATAGCCATGATTGGACAAAGAGACTCGTGTGTCACATAGAAAGAACCGGTGCGGAGATCAGAACCTGATTGTTTCAATTGATCTGAGTGTCTTTACAATTTTCATTACTATTATAATTATCCCCCGCACGCTTCCCAAGTGTACCAGGGAAGGCGCACGCACTCCTCGCTATTTTACTTATTACGTCTCAGAGCCGTATGGTGCATAAGTAGGAGCCGTGGTACCATCACACGAGTACTGGACGAGGTAGTCGCTCGTGGAGCTGCTCGCGCTCAGGACGACAGTGCCGTCAGGTGCAGTGACCTGCACATTGAAGCCGAAAGGACCGTCACCCTGGCTGAACAGGATGCGAATCGGAATGTACTCTCCAGCCGTGGCAGTGTAGGTACCGACAATGCTGCCGCCGCCACCGGAGCCGGCGCCGAGCTCGGGGTACGTCACATCCAACAGCGCGTTGGCACGGGTCCAGCCAGAATAAGCAGTAGCTCCAGCCCATACGAGGACAATGTCATCTGCGCTGGTGATCTGGAAGGTGAAAGATCCAGTCTGGCCTGCGTAGAGGTAACCGCGGTAGTTGAGCGCAATGTTGTTGCAGTTCTCCGTGTAGCCGTAGAAGCTGAAGGTGGACGAGGTGTACGGGCAGGAGCCGCTGATACCGCCAGCAGAGCCAGCAACGCCCGAGACGGTCGGTGTCTGAGTCTTGAAGTAGGTAGGATCGAACTGCGAGTACGACCCGTCCGAGTTCACGCCAAATGGCGAGACATAGTATGCAAACTGTGCGCCCTGGTTGGAGCAAGACAGATCAGGGGTCGGGCTGGGGCAGTAGATGTCTGTCGAAGTGGGAGTGACAGTAACTGTGGTGCTCTGTGTGCATATAATCAGTAAGATATCAAGTTTTGTTCAATGATTGAACTTACAGGTGTGGTCACCGGGGTGTAGTAGGGGGTGGTAAGCGGCGTAGTTGTGGTTGTAGCCGCGACGAGGGTAGTTACAGAGGTCGTCGGGTACACACTCGACACAATAGTACTCGTGCTGGTTGGGGTGGGGACCTGGAGACAGCTGCAAGCCAGAGAGACAGCAGTGGCAGCGAGGTTCTTCAGGCAGTCCGGCGTGGGTATGCTGGACTTGGTCGAAGTTGCAATGGTTGTGGTAGACGACTTGCTAGTAGTCTTGAGTCCTCGCTTCTCAGGTGCCGTGCTGATACAGGTTGTCACCGTCACGGCGTCTGCGGTGGCCGTGTACGTGACGGTGGGAGCAGTGACGGTGTCCAAGGTCACCGTGGGGACGGTAGAAGTCTCGGCAGTGACAGTGTCGGTACCAGTGGTACTCGTGATCGTGCTGCTGAGGTAGCTGGTGCTTGTCGACGTCGTGTAGACGGTCGACGTCTGGATGCCCAAGTAGCTGGAACAGAACGGACTGGCTGAAGCAGCAGCAGAAAGTGCTGTTACCACTGAGTCAATGACCAGGCAGGCAAGATTGCCAGTGCGCTCCTCAAGTTCGGCCTGCGCTGCTGGCAAGGCCATGACTGAGGAAGCGCCCAGAAGGGCAGCGGTGAAGGTGTAACGCATCTTGGACTATATTGGTCGAGACTGGAGAGAAGAGGCTTGCCACTGATGATCTCTCAAGGAAGATTGATACTCGCATCGATACTTATACATTTTTTTCTTCCCCATCGTGGTCAGTTATTCACTTTGGTCCCGACTATGGCGGCTGCCAATTGACAGCGACCAAGAACATGGTCGAAGAGGCCTACACTGCTGAAAGCTGACATGCTCTCCAGTGCAGCTGAGATGTCGATAGTCGCTAGTATAGGTCGAGAAAAAATTCATCTGTCTGCAGGCTGATCTGGCACCAATCTCAATTCATCGAGATGAAATGGTGGACATCGCCCAATTTGTGTAGTTCCAGCTCGCAAAGGGTCCAAAAGGGCGCAGCTTATTCCCCTGTTGGCTTGTCAAGGGTCTTGTCAGCGGTGCAGGGCGACTAGAAAAGAATGCAGAAAACAAAGCTGGACTACAGAGCTCCATAGCGACGCTTGTTGCAAAATGGATAAAACAGGCAAGTTGGAGTACGCGCACCCCACTACACACCTATGGATAAGTCGATAACAGCCACTGCAGCCACAAATACGTATTGCACCAACTGCACTTACTGGATTTGCACCCACTGCACTGCACCCACTGTATTGCACCCACTGGACTTGCACCCACTGGACTTGCACCCACTGGACTTGCACCCACTGGACTTGCACCCACTGGACTTGCACCCACTGCACTGCACCCACTGCACTGCACCCACTGGATTTGCACCACTGGACTTGCACCAACTGCACTTGCACCAACTGCACTGCACTAATTGCATTATACTAATTATATTGCACCTTTGCATTTATTGCTATATTTATTAATAATACAATATAATTAAAAATATAATATAATAAATATAATATAATAAATGCAAAGGTGCAATATAATTAGTATAGTGCAATTAGTGCAGTATAATTAGTGCAGTGCAGTAGGTGCAGTCTAGTGGGTGCAGTCCAGTGGGTGCAAGTCCAATAGGTGCAAGTCCAGTGGGTGCGATACGTATTTGTGGCTGTCGCATGCTTTTTATGGTGTATAGTGCTTTACGGATTATATTGCTTTAACGAATTTTATTATTATAATTTAGTTGGCGACGATTGATTTAGAATGACTTACGTAATTATTAGTGGCTATAAAAAGGAGGGAGGGTAAGTCTAATAGTGTTTTTTGGTGTAAAATCCATTTTGCAACAAGCGTCGCTATGGAGCTCTGTACTGGACGCCCCACCGCGCCGAGTTTGCGGGGGAGCTGAAATAGAGATTGGATCGCACTATAAACCCAAAAACGGACACCTGGTCAATGCTAGTATAGAGCTGATCACTGCTCAGTCTGCTTGGCAGGGGATTCTAGACTTACAAGTCCCGGCATGTCTGCGGCAAATATTCCAACTTGGGTATTTGCCTCGTAGCATTATTCTCAGTTTGGTAGATATGGCCATGCTGAAAAAAGGTCGCCGAATAGTGTCTCTTCCAAAGGTGCCTGCGAGGCGCTATACGAGAATTGGTTCAGCATCGCAGATGCGGTGGGGTCTTGGGGAACATCGCCCAGAAAATGGCTCTCGAGGGTTTCCTGCCGTGGACAAGGCATGTATGGCAAACGACGAGTCTCGATCTGGCTGTTTGTTTTGTGGAAGGCCGTTCTCGATGGCTCGCGTGTTCTGATGTGCCGGATGCCTTGCATCCCGAATCAAGGCCTGCATTGGTGTGCCTGTCCCAAATCCAGTGGCTGTCTGCGCCGCGGGGGACTTGTACTGCTTCGCAACCCAGGTGTGTCAGCTGACGATCAAATCTAATATGGGTGCCAGAAATTGGCATCTCGAGAGAAAGCATCTGGAATGCTGCGTGGTTCTTACCTGCAACTGCTCCGATGTTCCAATGCCAGAAGCTGGGCTGGACAAATTCTGCCAATCTGGCAACAGGCCGTGGAGTATGCCATCCTGCCGCCTGGTGCCGGCACGCATAACTTATTGTCTCTAGTGTTGGCATGATTCGTTTTCCGCAATCAACTTGGTCCCTCTGATGACCATTGATTTACGCTTAATCCTTTCGTGAGTTATAATTCTATGTATCCTCGAATCTTGCTCGTTGCCCACCGCTTCTTTTTTACAATATAGGTTAGCTTGGCGACTGAAACCTGCACATACGACCATAGATAGTTGAAAACATGGCATCCCGTTCGCTCTGCCCTAATTAAGCAACTAATCGCCGAATCAGTACTCAGGTGGGTGACCACTGGGGAATCCTCGGTGTTGTATGTTTTTGCCATTTTTCTCTTCTTGACTCATTAACCAGTCGGTCATTAGACCGGACAACGGCTTTAAATTTTGGTCGTTCTACTTTGTGGAAGGTGGGTGTTGCGACAGGTATTATGTAGATAGCAGGGTGCTTGATGGAAGGGGATATCACACGAACATACATCGCCCAGTCACTCAAAATATCACTCAGTTAATACTTCAAAGTCTGTTTGGATTAAATCAATCTATTCATGAAGTGGAAAATCAACTCGACCTTGCCTATTTACCAGCTCTAATCTGCGCTGCAATCTTCTCTGCCAGCGCGTATACGGTACTCTGCGGGTGACCGGGTGGAAGCAGGGCAAAACTACTGGCATCGACAACACGAAGTCCCGTCACACCAATGACCTTGGCGTCGCCATCTACCACAGCATTCGGGTCATCTTTCTTGCCCATGCGACATGTACAGCTTGCATGCCAGATGGTCATGACGGTACTGCGGATCGTCTGCAGGATCTGCGCGTCAGTCTGAACGGCCGGACCGGGAAAATATTCTTGGCCATCCGGATCGGCTAGCACGCCCTTCATGGCCTGAGAGGCAAAAGCGGCGCGGAGACGCTTGTATGTAGCTATGGCGACAGCGACATCCGTGGGGTCAGTCAACCAGTTTGGATCAATCTGCGGGGGCACATTGGTGTCGGCGCTGGTGATAGTGACGGATCCACGACTTAGGGGTGCGACGAGTCCGCCCAGAATGGTGGCGTATTGATAACCATCCTTGGGTTGGGACGTGAACAGGTTCGAAAAGTCACCAACGTATCCCGGTGCAGAGAGAAACTCGACCTCGGGCCAGTCTGCTGGGAATTGAGCATCCAGGGTTGAGGCGGCGGACGAGGGAAGCAGTGATCTTGGCACCTTTTCCCAGCCCAAGTAATCGCATACGGGGTTGGTCAGAGGTCCTTGTTGTTTGGGCAGGTAGTTACCAGCGTATTCGGCGCCCACGTACAAGAGGTCATTGGCAAGGCGAGTCAACGTCTGCACATCGACGCGATGCGTAGGCCCGAAAAAGACGTGATCCTGCATACCCTGACCTACGCCTGGCCTGTCAGCAATAACGGGGATGCTGTATTTGCTCAGAGTTGCTGCCGGGCCCACACCAGAGACCATGAGGAGCTGCGGTGATTGGAAAGCACCTGCACTCAAGATTACTTCTTTGCGAGCATTGATCGTAAAGGATAGCAGGCCAGTTTGGTAAGTCACGCCAGTAGCCTTCTTTGCACTGTTGAATATGATCTTCTTGGCCAGGGCAAACTGAATGACCTTTAGGTTGGACCGGCCCGAGGCATCATCTAGGAAAGAGGTCTGGGAGCTTTCGCGGCTCATGTTGGTACTGAGGGTGTCAGAGCAGTATTGTGAGCCGAGTAGGCTGCCGCTGTTGAAGTCCTTAACGGTTGGGACGCCAATCTCGTTCAGAGATGGCTCCATCCAGCTTGAGAAGGGCTGGGCCCAGTTGGCGTATCCGACCTGAAGCGGACCGGCGCCGTCATTGAATGCACTTGCGTCGTACTCGGCAGAGGCGTTGGCGGCCCGGGAGTCAGAGGGAGGATGGAACTCGACGCTCTTCTTGAAGTAAGGCAACCAGTTGTCCCAAGAGTAGCTTGAGTCTCCGACTGCGTCTGCCCACTTTTGATATGATTGCTTGGTACCTATGGCATGAAATTAGCACTGTCCTTGCACATCTCAGGGAAAAGATCCAAGTCTGTCCCGCATACCTCTCTGATAAATCATAAAGTTTCTGGCCGAGCTCCCTCCCAGACACTTGCCGCGAGCGTAGTGTATTTTGCGATTGTTGGCACCAGCCTGCGGCGTCGTGACAAAGTTCCAGTCTACGAGGTTGGTGTCCAATGGGCTGGCTCCGACTCCGATCACGTCGCCAGAGGGCGTCGAAGACAATAGAGGATTTCCAGCCTGGTAATACGTGCCAGCTTCGAGGACTGCAACCTGGATATTTGGGTCCTCGCTCAGTCGGGCAGCCAAGGTTAGACCAGCCGTGCCACCGCCGACAATGACATAGTCGTATGTGCCAACCGGAATTTGTCGCTTTTCTTCCTGCTGGTTGTCATCTGGAATGGGACCTGCAAGGGCACTGCTGCTCATAAGAGCGGCTGCTGCCACACAATTGGCCCACGAGAGCTTCATTTTGGAGAATGAATATGGTGGTATGAAAAGATGTGCAGAACGACAGGTTGAACGTCTGAAGGAGAAGAGAAAAGGTCTTGCTGGACGTGCTTAAGTATATTATACTCGGCTGCTTTCAGCACAATCCAGACTTCTGGGGTGTGAAGACCAGCAGTCAAAGCGTAGATTGGTTGTTGGCTCTCCGAGATGCAAGTCATCCCGTCATCATTGCTTTCCAGCTCACACCTACCTTTGATCAGTAGGGTGTAATGCGTGAATCTTGGAAGCGACCAGTCGCGAGGTCGCAACTCCTGACATGACCATGAAGGTTGGTGCTTAGAGACAGAAGAGGGGTCTGTGCCCCTCGTATCGTCCCATGTTGCACTTGACGTTTTTGTGATTATTTAATTCGATCGGCACTTGGCCTTTTTAGAGTCCTTGTCTGTGTGGTATTTTGGGAGCGACTGTAGTATGTCCAACTCTTAGATCGTGCACTAGAGATTAGAAGGCGCACCCGATGGTGCGGTCGAGCCTCTGCGCCGTCGCCCGCCGTCTCCTCCTGAAACTTATATCTGCTCATTTACAATACAGGACTCTGGAGGATCCGGGTCCGCAATTAGCTAATGGTTTCTGTACAGAAATGGCGAAGTAGAAGAGGACAACCGCGAGCAATGTACTAAAAGCTTCTTTTCCTCGCGTTCCTGCATCGTCCTGGGCCTTGTTACATTTGCATACCTAGTTACACGACTAATACGTGGCAAAATATTGTTTGCTGCAACAGTTCAAGTGCCGGCCAGGCATCATGTATTGGAGTCAAGGTTGGTTTTTTTAATCTCCAACCAGTGCAGGGTTCAGTTGATTGTATAAAAGATGCTAATAGTACATTCTATATGGCCGAGGCAACCGAGTATGCATGTGCTTGGCTTGGACTACTGAACTCATGATGACAGTTCAAGTTCTTTGAACACCACAAACTTTAGCAATATCAGTAATCAAATCTGTATTGCCCAAAGTTCCGTCGTATAAACAAAATATGACTCAATGCACTTCCTCAATTGCAACTCTTGCTCGAAAATGTTGTCTCACTGCGGCCGTCCGTCCCGAGGAGATCCAGGCACAATCATGGTGGATTTTGACTCATGTAAGACATTTCCATGGGCGGTGCTCTATAGCTACTCGCAACGGCCATGGCACAAACCTCTTTTAGTGAAAATCTCGGCTTCACATGTCTGTTCAACCTCAATATTCTCATCTTCAGCCTCTCGTTCATGTATTGTTAGGAGCATCTTGCCCGTAGGGTTACAGTCACTTGACTAGCCTTGGCGGGGTAAATCAATGTTTACGGCACTCATAAATCACCATGGCAGAGGCGCGGAGACAAGGTCGCACACAATCTGCCGCAGCCGTCGATGCCAAGAATTAAAAGCAAACAAGAATGGATTATTCGAAAACGACCCTAATGGAAATGAAAATAAAAGGCACTGGAAATGGAGAATTGATGGCAGACTCTGTGTTCAGGCCTTGCGACAGCCATCATTGATCGTATTCCACGGAAGAAGAAGAAAGGCTTACAAGTAGCTGGTAGTAAATTGGAAAGGAATCAGCCATGGCTCTTGTTTATATTATTTCAACCGAATACCCTCAATTATAGGATGATGGGTGCCATTTATGCTTCTACATATGAAGATGTGATGGAAGAGCGTGATCGAGCGCATTGCCACTTTGCAGAGTCCACCCCCATAGTAGAAGAGGCAAAAGTGGAAAAAAGAAAAGAAAAAAAGAAGGAAAAAGAGAGAGATAAAACACATGTCACTATCCGTCCATGCTCAATGCAATTTCTCATAAGAGAAATTCTCACCGACATCACCTTTTCTACCACCAGCGGTTAACACTGTGCGCAGCCGGGTCGTAAAATTAAGCATGCCTAGGTAGATACGCAGGACACGACTGGAGTTCTCCGCATTTTCCAGCAGGGCTTCATCAGCATCTGCAGAGTCGCCCCCTCAATCACTATTTACTCCACGAATGACATGACTGCATCATTATGGCAGCGAACGGCGCAAATACATCCGGAGTATGAATCATATACGTCAGTAAGGCTTGGCCCGTCAGGCGCATTTCGCCTTCGCAGAGGCCATAAATCACTGCGCGATCATCAGAAACAGCACTACTAGCAAGACCTTCTCCATCTTCATCAGCAGTACGATTGTCCAGCTCGAAATTCGATAGTCCCAAGGTCAATATTCGTTAGATACTGGCTCTCAGCATGAAGTTGAAGCATATTGCAATAAGTGGTCTCAAAGCCATACCAATCCTTCTCGGAACGGCGGCTTGTTGGGATATACCCCCAGAATATGGTATTCAGTCATCACCAGATGGCCACTTTTTCCAAGACAATACCGGGCAGCCTTTCTTCTGGCAGGCGGACACAGCTTGGCTCTTGTTCCACCGTCTCAATTACAGCGAGTCGGACGTCTACCTAAGCGACCGTGCCAGCAAGGGGTTCAACATGATCCTGGTGGTCGGGTTCACGCAGATTGGCATTGATAGTCCGAACCGCAACGGAGATCTCGTCTTCATTGATGAGGACGTTACGCAGCCGAACGAGGCATATTGGGCCTATATCGATTCCATTGTAGAGTTGGCTTGGAGTAAAGGCATCCGTATCGCATTGGTTCCGGCTTGGGGCAAATATGTGCACTCTAGCGGTAAGGGGAAGCACTGTCAATCGCTGAAATTTTTATTAACCGTGACTAGAAAATGAGGGATCTGTGCTGAATATGGCGACTGCGCGCACTTTTGGTAATTTCATCGGACGACGATACCCTTACCTGCCAAAATCTCTCGTGGCGGACACAAACCCATGGTGGCAGAACAAGACGGCTGTCAAAGACGACTACACCAAGGGTGGTGTTCCCCCGGCGTATCCGTATACAGACTGGAGCAATGTGTATGACGAATTGGCCGAGGGTATCGTGGAAGGAGAACAAGCAACCATTTCTTCGCAGCAAGCCGAAGGGTCCTCGACTTGGTCACCCCTGATAACGATCCACCCAACGAATCAATGGTTTAACGGAGGTCCAATTGCTCTAGCAAGTGCGTTCCTCGGCGATCGGACGTGGCTCACCTTTGACGCCAGTCAGTCTGGGCACACGGATTACGCACCAAATCCACCGATTCCCTGGTGGAACTGTCGTCGAGGATGGGAACCTGTCGAGCTCATGTATTCCGGTAGCATGTCCAAGGGCGACAAGAAGAGACCGGCGCTGGACAATGAGCCACATTATGAGAATCGCTACAACAATGCCAAGAACACAAACGCGTACTGGAACGCCAGTGATGTACGGACTGGCGGTTGGCAGTCGGTGAGTATCCCAGGAACCTGGGAAAATGTGCTTTGGGTTGTTGGCTGATTATCGAGCGAGCAGGTCCTGTCGGGTGCGGCCGGAGTGACATATGGAGCAGATAATGTCATGCAGATGTACATACCGGGACTGTATGACCAGGATGGGAGCGGGCCGCCTGTCGCGTGGTCCGAAGAGATCAACCTTGCCGGTGCGAATCAAATGCAATTCATCAAGCAAGCCATTACGGACCGCGGCGAAGCGTCCTACTTCACCCGCATTCCAGCACAAGATATCGTTGAAAACGCGGGATCAGACGACAGGAGAGTCACTGCAGCACGAGATAGCCAGGGCTCCTATATCATCGTGTATTCGCCAACGGGACAAACTTTCTCCATTGACACTGCCAGTCTTGACGGATGTGACGTGGATGCAAGCTGGTTCGATCCCGTCGTGGGCATATATCAGGAGGTCGACTATACGCAATGCAACGGGGACAATTCCACAAAGAGACAATTCGCGCCGCCGAAAGTGGATTCGCACGTGGACTGGGCTCTTGTCCTGCAAGTTTCCAAATAACAGGTAAAATAAATACCCGCATGACACATGAACAAAGCAGACGAGGCAGAAAGAAGCAGACTTGGCAGTCCTCCCGAGAGCTTGGTTCCCCGCCAAGAAACAAAGTCGGGGGATCATCCTGAGTTTCTAGACCAAATTGAACAAGTTTATTAGCAAGCCTGGAGTTTAGTTCAAAGAGCCAAACCTGAACAAAGTTAGTCCATGTCAGACTTGGACATCTCTAAAACTGTGACCCCCACGCCCAAAGTTGGGGGTCATTCAACGATTGAGACCAATACAATTCTTCGGCAACGCACCGGGAATGCGGTCACGTGTGGTAATTGCGCAACATGTTTGCTCTTTTCTTTTCTTCTTCTTATCGCTAGTCTCGCTTCTTAAACTACTTTGTACGTATAAAGAACACAATGTTCTTACCTAGTTTGCTAGGCACGGCTCCGTTGAGCGGCAGTGTACGTCGACGTCGTCCCGCTTGCTCGTACCGTCCGCGTGATGACGTACCTGGAAAGGAAGCACAAGTGTGCCCTTTTCCTTGCCTCCTCTGTCCCACCACCACCACCGACGGACGGGTTCAGGGGCCGCCGCCTCAATTGCATCCTTTGCTTGACCTTTGCTGCTATTTCCATTACTACAATCTATGTTACAGATGGCAAAAGACTGTCCTCCCCTGTGAGCTGTAGTTTACCGGGCAAATCCGGCTTCTGTGCCTGATACGTAACAACAACAAGTTCACGTCTAGAAGGACTATAATCTGACCGTATGAAAATTTCAAGGTAACCGATTTGATTTGCCGGAGGACCCAGCGTAACGGCAAGCTCGTGAGACTCAAATTTGCGATTAGACTCCGCTCCCACAGATTTAGTTTGAATTCTCCAGACGTACGATATGGGTCTGCTCATTGCTCCCCGGCATCAAACCCCGATCAACTCCGTCAAGAATTTTGAGGAGGCACTGGAGGAAAGGAGGCCACCCCCAGAAGTTTGTCCACTATAAAGAATATCTAATGCTCTTGATTGGCCGCGTTCGTCGCGTCTCGAGGAGCAAAAGTCCCACTATCCGCCAAGGCGCCGAAGTACGGCCTGATTCGTGTGGGGGATAGCACCAGAATTCGAACGGGGTTTTCTGCGGGGATATACAAGCTCAACAGACAAGGCCCATCCCCATACTCTTGTTTGCGCATAGTAGTACTACTACTGTTCAATAACGGTAGTAGGTTACCGGGACAAGGCCCAGCCTACCTCATTGACCGCCTTGGAACGACGATCCGTCGTTACCCGAAGTTTCCAGTAGCTGAACTAGCTGGATGGAGGAGAGATGGGCTTATGGGTTCGGACGTTTCATAAATAGACGACTCTCCCACCTCTCTGGTCGAGCGTTTTCGCCATTCTGATCAGCCATTGTCACGTCCAGGCAATCTTGTGAGAGCACAATATTTCCTCACAGACACCGGCGCGTGCAAAGATGGCCGACGAGATTACTGGAGCCGACCGCGCGGTCAGCTCCCACAGCAAGCAAAAGGTCGAGACATTGGAGAGTCAACCACCGGCTCAACAGTATCTCAATGCTCGCTCCATGGACCCAGAGCACCGCGCCCGCGTCGAGAAGTCGCTCAAGCGAAAGCTCGACGCTCGCAATGGTCTCTTCATCATCCTCTATATTCTCAACTACCTGGACCGCAACAACATTGCAGCCGCTCGTCTCAAGGGTCTACAGGCTGACTTGGGTCTCGACTCGACGCAGTACTCAACCTGCTTGTCGATTCTGTATGTGGGATATATCTTGATGCAGGTGCCGTCCAACATCTTGATCAACCGCATCTCGCGCCCGTCTGTCTACATTGGATGCTCCATGTTGATCTGGGGTGTGATCTCTACCCTGTCCGGTATCACCACCAACTTTACCGGCATGGTCTTGACTCGATTTTTCCTTGGCTTTGTCGAGGCCGCCTTCCTCCCCGGTGCCTTGATGATCCTGTCAAAGTGGTACACGAGAAGAGAACTTACGACGAGGAACGCCATTCTCTTTTGTGGTAACCTCATTTCAAATGCCTTCTCGGCCCTTATTGGCGCCGGTGTGCTGTCAAACATGCAGGGTGTCCTCGGCCACGCTGCATGGAGATGGCTGTTCTGGATTGAGGGTGCCATCACCATGTTCTTTGCCCTCACAGCCATTGTCATCCTGCCTGACCTCCCGACCAACTCGCGTGGCTTCACCGCCGAGGAGCTCGAGGTCGCTCAACTTCGCATGCTCGAGGATGTCGGCGAGGTTGATGAGGATTCCGCCGAGCAAGGTGTCTTTTATGGTCTGAACATGGCCATCAAGGATATCAAGGTCTACGTCATGAGCATAACCTTTACGGCCTACGTTGTTGGACTGTCGTTCAATGCCTTTTTCGTAAGTTTCTGCACTCGATCTTGTCTAACCTCTTCGTTATTTGGCACGACTAACGCGTACAACAGCCTACACTCACTGGAACGCTCGGCTTCGACTACGTTCCCACTTTGCTCATGTCCGCTCCTCCGTGGGTGTTTGCCTGTCTCATGTCTCTGATCAACGCCTGGCACGCGGACAAGACTGGAGAAAAGGTAAATGGATTCTTCAGCCTACATAGAAAAGAAATCTGAACTAACACAAGTCAATCTACAGTTTTGGCACATTGTCGGCCCCATCTGCGTTGGTCTGGTGGGTTTCGTCATTAGCATGTCGACGCTCAACATCGCCGCCCGCTACGTCGCCCTGTTCCTCCAGGCCAGCTCGTACGCCGGCTTCATTGTCTTTTATTCGTGGATCTCGTCCACGTTCCCTCGTCCTCCCGCCAAGCGAGCCGTCGCCATTGCCTTTATCAACGCCTTCTCGCAGCTCGGAAACGTGGCCGGATCATACGTGTGGAACCTCAGCGACAATGGCTACAGAAAGTCGTACGGTATCGTGCTTTCCAGTGAGTAATTCCTCGCAATCAAGAAAACCTAGTATCCAATGTGTGCTCTGTACTGACTTGACATGCAGTGTTTGGCGTTACCATTTTCGGATGCTTTGTCATCCGCCAGATGCTCATCAGGCTCAACAAGAAGCTCGAGGCTGGCGAAGGTGCTTGGGATGTCCAGCCCGATGTTGCCCAGCACACGGCTGATCTGGAGCACGTGGATAATGAAGAGGCAATGAAAATGGTCAAGGGCTTCAGATATCTGGTTTAGAAAAGACTATAGATACAATACCCTGCTTGAATACAAGTTCATGGAATGCAAAGAACATTGCACAATCTCATGATTCAATACATATTTAATATGATGGTGCATTTGTGTTACAAGGACAATTCAAGGGGTGGTATAATCTGAAAAACTAGCCCAACTACCTCGAAATATCAAAGTCAATACCCTCTGTCCATGGAGAACGTAGCAGAGCTTGGATTCAGTCTTGACAATGACAATATAGACCAAGATGCATGTTGCCGTCGAAAGGGGGCATGTTTTCCCACGTCGCATGAGACCTATACAGACTTCATCATGATGAGACTTTCTTTCTAATCAGACCCTGGGCAGGTACTCCTTTTCATCGCATGTTCCATACACAATTATAAACGCTCCCAGTATGGCCCAGAGCCTCCCATGGGCCTCGAAGATAGGTTGGCATTGCGCCACGGCACATGACTGCCAAGAGCAGCGATATACTTGGCGCGGCTGTCATACACGAGTAGCAGAATATGCAAGGCGCCAACTTTACATTGCAGGCTGCGGGCCTTTTGGGTGGGGGATTGAAAAGCCTCAGCTAGAGGCACTTGCACATGATTGCACAAGTGATGCGGGGGAAGGTTGGGCGATATGCAGATGACTACAACATTGTCCCTACCTTGTTCCTAGGGTGGTGTTTTCCTCTGTAAGCGTAGCTAAGAATACGAATCTCTCGCCATGTCCGACGTCCGGGGGGTGGTCAAATAAGCGATGCTCAAAGGGAATACGAGGACGAAAGAAGTCTGGCGCACGAGACTATTGGCGATGAGACTATCACGATTCAAGACTAAAGCAGTGGGAGGGCTGGCTTCAACTTCCAAAGGTCTTGGCCAGCACCCTAACGGCTTGTAGCATCCGACTCCGCGTTGCTTGCACCATTCCAGTCGAGCACGAGCTTTGTCCCAGTTCTCCCTAACGTGACGAGAGGAAGAGTTATGGCATCAAGTTTGAAGCGGACATGAGCATCATGTATGTATCTTTCCCGTATACCTTGTTCTGGGCGCTAGGCACTGCGAATTGAGCACAAGGCATGCCCGATATGATTATAAATGCCCGTGCCGCGATGGTGAGAGAAGAATAAAAATAAACAGTAGATGGATGTCGTATTATTTTGTGAGGCTCCCCACCGTTGAACTTGATTTCCCGGGGTTTGCCTGTACAGGAAAGTTCCCGAGGTTTGCTCTCCCAAAATGGATAATTGGGTTGACCCCGAAAGGCGCCACAAGAGACCCCGTGCGCGGAGTTTCCGACTGGGCGGCAATTGCTGCATAAAGCATAGGGGAAGAGAGCAGAAGCATTTTCCTACATCTTGTGGAACATAATCTCAAGATCATACAACGGTTTAAGGGGATTTAGACATTATTGTTACAGAATACTCTAATTGACGAAACAGTCGGCATTAGTTCCTATATTTCAACATGCTGCAAGTTTCATGCTTGACGGTAACGTGCATAGAAAAAAAATAACGTTTGACATGATGCACCAGACGGTGAAAAATGTCTTATTAGCATGACGCGGCTACAATAGACCTGATGAACTAAATTTCCGTAGAGTTTAGCATGTGTTTCAGTCAACTTTCACATAGGTTTATCAACCATCTCCACATATTCAAATGCACCAGATGAAGAGTAAACAGAGGAATTATTCAGAAGTGATCAATGCGTATATGGTCTATTGCTTACGGATGGGACTAATTCTCGATCTGGGGAGATCGAGACGGTGCCTGTCCTGACAAGAAATCTAGATACAAGGAAACAAATGCGTTGTGCTGTCGTTTGCCTCCTACGCGCCCAGAAAACTGCCAGGTTAGCGTGAAGAAATAAATTTTAAACATTACAAAGCCAATATCAAACGTTTCATTACAGCCCACTCGCAAACTCCAGTCCTAGGCGTTGAGTCTGCTGGCTTTCTCTGATTACAGAATAAAGGCCAGGACGGCAGCGAGAGCTCCAGCGCCAGACAGACCGTAAGAAGCAGCGCCGGCAGTGGCGTAGGCCGAAGTGGCGCTGGCAGATGCGGATGCGGCCTTGGTAACTGAGGTGCTGTAGCCCTTGGTGCTGGAAGCAGCGTAGGTGGGAGAAGCCCAAGTGCTGTTGGCAGCCGGGCTGGTGCCGTAGGCACCGGTAGAGGCACCACCGGTAGGGTAGCCACCGTTTCCACCGGCAGGGTAGGTCTTGGACTCGCCGCCAGCAGGGTAAGTAGAAGCACCACCAGCAGGGTAGGTAGAAGCACCACCGGCCGGGTAGGTGGAAGCACCACCGGCAGGGTAGGTCTTGGACTCACCGCCGGCAGGGTAAGTAGAGGCACCACCGGCCGGGTAAGTA